CACGAACTACTTCGACCCCTTCTTCTCCCTTTCCGAGTTCGACCGCCTCTTTGACGAGGCGTTCGCAGCTCGTACCGGTGGGAACACCACTGGAAATAACCAAGTGCAGCGCCGGAGCACTGACAATGGATCACGTCTGTTGAGACCAAGGTAAGTACTACGATGCTCCTTCCGCGTCGATGACACGGATGCTAACATATCCCTTGTACAGGATGGACGTACACGAAGACAATCAGAATAACCTGGTGACGGCTACCTTCGAGCTCCCGGGTCTCAAGAAAGAAGACGTCAACATCGACGTGCAGAACAACCAGCTGAGCGTCTCCGGGGAGACCAAGATCTCGTCGGAGCGTGACGAGAATGGATACGCCGTCCGCGAGCGGCGGTACGGCAAGTTCTCGAGGACGCTCCCGCTTCCTCAGGGTATCAAGGTTAGTAGATTTTGTCCAAGTCTTGTGATTCGAGCATCGTACTGACTGTTTCTTCAGCCCGAGGAGATCAAGGCATCGTTGGAGAACGGCGTCTTGACTGTCACCTTCCCTAGGACCGCACCTGAGGCGGCCCCGAAGAAGATCACTATCTCGTGAAGTCACGGGCCTCGAGGAGGATAGAGGAGCCACGAAGCATACAATGTACTGTATACCTGCGATGGATGTATCATATACCTCTGTATTATAAATGCATGATCATCTCCCATAATTCGACTGTGACTGTGAGCCTTGAAGTTCGAAGTGCGGTGAGTTCCACTGTAGACAAGAGTGAGCCCAAGATATATTAATGCGCCCCGTGTATTCTGCCAAGTTACTGATATCAGTCACATCCAAGATGCATTTTCATCAATCTGCCCCATCCAATTTCGACTGCTTCGCTTAAACTCGATACGCCCTCATGAATGCCAAGAAGAACACCAGAAATACCACTGCAAATACGTAGAAGACGCGGCCCTGCTGAGATGGATCTCCACGCGCAAGGAAATCGCGCAATGGGAGGAATACCAGACCGACGATGAAGTTCGCAATCCCTGTAATACGTCCGTTGCTATACTTAAGTGATCATTTAGACCGGGCAAAGGGGGTGGGTACATACAGTTAAGGGATAATGCAACGGAGGACAGCGCCGATACAGCCTGAGAGCGGTCTGTGAATTGAAGAATGTAGAAGAGGTGAATGACGTACATGAGGCGGGGAAACGTCTGAGATAATCACAAATGGTATTGGCCCCATTCCTATAGCGAATGACCTGTACCACAGTCTGTCAGTATCCCTATCACACGATTCAACGCATACATACATGATAAATGTCATGATCGCGACGCTAGAGAGAGCCACGATCCCATTGTCAAGCCCCATCCCAACTAGGACTAGAGACGCAATGGAGCCGCCTGCGGAGATGGTCAGGAGCTTCTTCCTGCCCATGTTCTGTAATTACAGGGTTGGTTGCGTCCAGTGTGCACCTTCAGTGCATAGGCTGAGGACAGCTGACCTCGATGAGAAAGATGGGCGGGAATGTCATGATGGCATTAACGACGGTGATACCAAGGGAGACATAGGGCCCGAGATCAGGCAGAGATCTGGAGAGGATGTTGTTACTGTAGTACAATACTAATTCTCCTTAGCACTCAATGAAAAAGGCTCATCTTGGGAACGTACCGGCATTCACACCTAGCGTGAGCGGCGAAGGTTAGTAATTTAGTGGACCAATAGAGAAGCTGGTTATGGAAGATTCACCAGATATCTGCTGGCAGAACATCCCTAGACAGACTATGGACAGCGGCTTACGCAGCTCGGGTACAACTAAAAGGCGAGGAACGGTGACGGCAGCTTCGTGCCTGTCCTCAGGTGACCGACTACGGCGAGAGCCTTCGTCTGGAAGAAGAGGATCCTCAACGTCTCCATCTGTAGTCCGCATATAAGCACCACGGATAGTCTCGCGGGACAAAGGAGCATACCGGACCCTCTACCTGCATTACCCCAAAGTTTCCGTGATACATTCTTCACTTCAGGGGCTTTACCGGACCGTACCAACCATACAGGCGACTCGGCTATAACAGGGCTGGAAAGCAAGTGTATGATAGATAAAGCGCACGAGAGCAGCAGCACCATGCGCCATTCTCGGGGTGTGGCAAGTTTAAGTCCTATTGACTGGGTGAAGAGGATGCCGAACACAATGGCCAGCTGAGTGAGAACACCTGTATCACAACAGGGGGATTAGTCATGAGGTAGCACGGGCTCGTAAGGGCATACCGACGTTGCCCTTTATCTTGGCGGGACTGATCTCCCCCAAGAAGACGGGGCCAACGCAGATTCCTATCCCAGCGCCAACTCCCACTAACATTCTGTAACACAATGGACATATATTTTAAGGTCCCAGATACAACAGAACGCACCTCCCAAAGGCTAACGGAAACACAGAAGCTGACACGCTCATTATGCCCGTCCCCGCAGCCGTCATGAGCGAGCTCGCACGAATCGCGTCCTTCCTACCTCTCTTGTCCATAACTAGGTTTGCTCCCATGCTCCCCAATAACCCTCCCACTGTAAAGACGGAGGTTACGACGGAGAAGGTGGCGTCCGTCATGGGTATGCACGTCGGTAGCCCATAGTGCCGAGAGTAGTCGTCGGTCTTCTTGCATGTCAGGACTCGTTCAATCTGGTTGAGCGCGGAGATGTGGTATCCATACTATATAGACGAGTTCAACAGCTTTCACCCTGGTGGGCCCGCTGTGTTAACATTACCTGGTGTACGCCTGAGCACCGGCTTCACTGGGATAGACGGATACACGCACCTGAAACGACACAACAATGACCCAAAGACACACTGCCCACCCATAGAAAGTGAAGCGTTGCGGGTCCTTGTGGTCGGCCATGCAAGCAAGTTAACACGCTGGGCGCACCTCAGCCACAGGCCCACAGCGTCGACGGCGGTGATCAGAGCGGAAGCAATTGCCACAAATGCCGGAAACGGTAGTCGGTATGATGGCAGACGCGACTTGCTCTGTTACAGTAGACTGTCGGTGACAACCTCAAGCTGTTTCGAAGCTGGCTCTCTCTGGCGCCCTGCGTACACGCCATAGGCCAGCTGTTGACTTGGAAATTGCCTTCGGCTACAACAGTCTCTCTCGATGTCGGACGTCGAGCGCAAGGAGACCGATGCGTTCCTTAACTTCTTCGCTACGTTCGAGCTCACAAGACCTGTAACGACAGTCTCCGACTTGAGCGATGGAGCTGCGTTATTTGAGATCCTCTCACTTATGTAAGTTAATGGAAATGCATATATGCGCTTCGTCAAGCTTAGCCGACTCGCCCAGTGACGCAGACTACTTCCGCCAACCTACCCGCCCGTCTGCCCAGCCTTCAGATAACTGGGTGCTCCGCTTCAGTGCGCTCAAGCGCATATACCGACTTATGACACAGTACTTTGCCGATGTTCTTCACCAACCGACGAGTGCGATGGAGGTACCGGACCTGCAGGCCATGGCGAAGGACCACAGCATCACGGATACGCTAATAATGTGTCGGCTCACTATTGCTATCGCTGTGCAGTGCGAACAGAATAAGGAGATGATAGAGAAGATTCAGGGACTCAGTGAAACGGATCAGCATTATCTCATGCGGGCCATCGAGCAGGTGCGTGTGGTTACGCTCTGGGGATAGGTCTAGTAGGGACGAGAGTATAGATCATGGCCAAAGCAAACGTCTCGGGAGACAGGAGTGTAGGAGAAGTCAGCATGACTGAGTGAGTGTTCTGAGCAGCACGAAGGACTAGATACTCAATCCCCTTCAGCGACGACCACTATTACCAGATCCAATCAGAGCGAAGTCGAATATTGGGTGAGAAGGAGACTTTAGAAAAGGTCTACCAGGCGTTACTTGAGGAGCACCGACAGCTACAGACCAGCTTTGACGACGTCACCTCGGAAAAGGAGGATGCCCTCGCACGGCTGCGGGAGATGCGGCGTGAAGTCGATAACCGGAGGAATGACAAGGCGGATGTTATGATGAGGGCGGAGATTGACCGTCTTCGGACCGAGCTGTGAGTGAGGTTGTCCTTTGCTTCAATATAGCCTACCAATCTGAGGAGGATATTAGCCAGAAGAGCGAAGACAATCTGGCTATGGTTGAAGGGGAGTTGGACAAGCAAACATCTCTCGTGACGGACCTGACCCGTAAAGTCGACGAATTGCAAGCCACGGCTGACCAAGCCGCGAAATTGAAAGATCAGCTGGATGAGTGAGTGTTAGTGTGATACGGCCCCGTGCTCCATTGACGATATGCGCAGGTATCGTCATGCAGCAGACAAACTGCAGAAAACCGAAAACGTTATGGAGAAATATAAAAAGAAGCTTCAGGAGGGCGCAGACCTGAGGCAACAAGTGAAGGTACTCGCATTCTTATTCGCATCCTCCTTCAAGCTCTCATCGCATTTCCTAGGCGCTGGAGAAACAAAATGCAGACCTCGTAGACAAGAACGCCTCGTTAGAAGAAGAGTACCGCAAGGTCGCAGCCTTCAAGCCTCTGATGGAATCCTACAAGACGCAGATTGCCGAACTCGAGACGAAATCCTCGGTGCGGAACAAGGAACTCGACACGCTGCGCTTTGAGCTCGAGCAGACGCGCACAAAGCTCAAGATCGCAAACGAGGAGCGGGCAAAGGACTCGGAGACGCTCGAGCTGTACCAAGAACGCGTTCGCGAGCTCGAGCTCAGCTCGCATCGCCCTGTGCGTGCCACGAAGCCTGAGGGCGCAAATGGCGACGCACCCCAGTCGCCGGATGCGTACACGGAGGGCGAGTCCTTGGCAGATATGAGCCAGGACCTCGGCGAGGAGATGGAGGACGCGATTTCGGGTACAACGATGACGGACCTGAAGCTACAGGTAAAGCGGCTCACGCGCGAGCTCGAGGCGGCACGCACGAACCAGGCGGACGCGAGCCGCACGCTGGTGCTCGAGAATCTGCTCGAAGACGCGAACCGCATGAAGGCGCGGTATGAGGCGGATTATTTGGCGGCGCACCGTGAGAAACTGAAGTTGCAAGCTGATTTGGAGGAGATCAGGAGCGGGAAGGCGCTGGGCGACGGGTGAGTGCCTGTTTTTGGAAGAGTGCTGGTTTGACATGACTGCTGATTTGATTATGGGTAGTGCGGAGGCTGCCATTGCTCTGCGGCAACGTCTCAACGAGACTGTTGACCAGCTGGATGCTCTTCGTAAGGAACATGCAGAGCTGGAAGTCAAATTCGAGAGCATCAACAAGGAGCTGACTATCGCCAAGTCTGACCGTACGTTCGCATCTTTCAAATCGAATATGTTGCTCATGGCTATAATGTAGTCAACCTGGTTAATAAGGATCAGCTCGAGATCCTCGCCACCCTCCGGGAATCGGTTAACGAGGACAAGGCCGGTCTCGAGGCCGAGACAGAGAGGCTGCAGAAACAGATCAAGGAGCTCAGCGAAAAGAATAAGATGCAGCTTGAGCAGATCAACGGGCTGCTTATGGAGAAGATCAACCTGCAGGGAGAAGGCATCAGTCAGCGAGAGAAGATGCTCCAGCGGGAGCGAGACTTCGGGTGAGTTAACCCGGTAACGTGAATAGGCTGAATGCTGATTGCTGCACTTTCTAGGGATCTACGGGCCACGCTTTCGGGCAAGGATCTGCCTGAGGATATCAAGTCGCGGTTGCTCAGTCTCCACGAGGAGAATATTACGCTCAAGGAGCAGCTGAAAACATCTCAGGAGAAGCTTGTGAAGGCGAAACAAGTACGTCGCGCTGTCATTTGTATAGCTTAACAAGCAGTCCTAACAGAATTATAATGCAGTTCATCAAGAACCAAGACAAGCTGTTCAAGGAAGAGCACGCAAAGACGCTCAGTACAGCGGCGCATGTGAGTTGTGACTTCCACATTGGAAGTTCACATTTGTCTAAATCATGTTCTTACAGGGATCGTTCGAGGAGGCGGAAGTCAGCTTCCGGTCACAGATTAAAATTCTTGAAGAGGAGGTTGCTCGGCATAAAGTATGCAGTTGTCCTATCGGCCTCATTTCCTTGCTGACCACCGTCTTCGCCAGCGTCTCATGATGGAATCAACGAAACGCTACCGGAGAGAGCAAGAATTGATGCTCAGCGCTATCCATGCGCTAGGCATGAAGACTGCGCGAGATTACTTGGGCAGCACGACGCAGCAGACGCGACCCGGGCCGACGAGCTGGCTGGGACAACAGAGGAAGAATGTAAGTGACGAGTTTTCAATTATGGTTCGTGCAGCGATGCTGACCACCTCCCAGATGGGCCAGACATTGCGCCGGTGATGATCGGACCTCTCATTGTCACGTCTCTTGTTCCATCTTGTAGATTCCTCTTAGATAATACCCCGGATGCTAATGATATATCATGTACAAACCTCGCATTCGTCCTATGTATTCTGTAGCCTTTCTATATTTGTTTAGTGTGATGAATCTTTAGACAGTGAACGCGTGGACCAAGACATCTCGCTGTTTTCAAAGGCCCAGGATTAGCTCTGCAGTCAAGTCCGCGCCACTGGTCACCCTACCCTGGGGCTTTGGCTTCCTCAGTTCCTGTGCATGTATGACGATGAAATAATACTATGCATTTATGATACACCGGTATATATATAGTACATTCATTGCAGCTATACATTACATTGCATGTTACATTGATTGTCCACCTTCCGCCCAGCAGTAGTTACGAGATAGTGATCTTCTTTGGAGCCGCCTCTGGCGCGGTCCTGGGGAAGGTCACCGTTAAGACGCCGTTCTCCAACGATGCCTTGATCTCCTCGGGCTGAAGAAACAGTCAGTACGATGCTCGAATCACAAGACTTGGACAAAAGCTACTAACCTTGATACCCTGAGGAAGCGGGAGCGTCCTCGAGAACTTGCCGTACCGCCGCTCGCGGACGGCGTATCCGTTCTCGTCGCGCTCCGACGAGATCTTGGTCTCCCCGGAGACGCTCAGCTGGTTGTTCTGCACGTCGATGTTGACGTCTTCTTTCTTGAGACCCGGGAGCTCGAAGGTGGCTGTTACGAGGTTGTTCTGAACGTCTTCGTGGACGTCCATCCTGTCGAGTGATGCGTTAGTATCTATGTCGTTGCAAGTGGTAAAGCGTTTCGTAATACTCACCTTGGCCTCAAAAGACGTGAGTCAGGGTCAGCGCTGCGACGCTGCACCTGGTTGTTACCAATGGTGCTCCCCCCAGAGCGAGCCGCGAACGCTTCGTCAAAGAGGCGGTCGAACTCGGAGAGGGAGAAGAAGGGATCGAAGTAGTTCGTGAGCGACATGAGAATCTAGCACTAAGAGTTGTCGATAGAGCTTTTAGTTCGTTCCTTTCTGGATGTCTTGCTGTCCTAGCGCTGCGTTCCGCGGGATTTTATATCTGAGGCCAAACGTTTTACTAGACCGTCATAGAAACTTCCAGAAAATTGAAGATTACAGAAGGAGACACTTGAAGCAAATTCGAGGGAATCTCCACGCATAATATGGAAGGGTCTTATTCACTCAATACAATTCCCCAGGGTTATGAAAGGGAGTGAAATGCCTGGTTGAAGGTGAATCGAGTTGCGCCTCCCATCTTGAGACGGGTTAGCGCTCAGCTTTGATTGGACCATAGCAGGTGGTTACGTAATAAAATGGCTAGTCCACGTGGCTTCTATCAATTTCCTAGCACGGCGATAGACTGCCGGCTTCTAAGTTTGGGTCCAACCGAGGCATTGCCACCGATGCCGCACAGGCAGCGAAGTCGGAGCCGACGTCGCGTCGGAACCAACTTGCTCTCGTCGCCCTCGGGCCATTCAAATTATGCTCGTTCTAGTACGAGGCATTTGTTCGCCTTTCTACGACCGACGAGGTGTAGATACAGTACGCGTTGAGGCGGACTTGCGCTTGCATCGCTTCGCCGGCATGCCGTAGCGCCTTTGTGGCTTGGCGTGTGTACCAACGGCACAGCTCAAACACGTCTAACCCGGAGGCTATTTGACAGCAATGATGTTGAACAAGCGTGACGAGGACATGATGGCTGCGAGGAAAGCGTCTGTTCGCTGCCGCAGCTTCAACTTGCTCGCTGCCATGTTCGCGTTCCTCACCAGTTCGGTTCCAGGACGCCAGGAAACGGAGCAGGCCAGAGCAAGGAACGTGTCGCTAAGCGACCGGCTCGGACTGTTGGATGATCCGGCATCTATGTACACCTGGGCTTTTTGCACATGACCGTCACCGAGTCTCCTGTTTTCCCTCGTATTTTTGGTTCAGTCGAGGTGAGGGGGCGGTCTACGGTCGAGTTTGGGATTTGTGGCGGGCAGATCTGCCACAAAAAACAGAGAGAAAAATAAAAGAAAGTGGCATTCAAGATGGAAAATGTCAAGTCCGCGCCGCTCTGGAGAATGCGGGGTAAAGACAGCGGAGGAGGGCGGATCACGTGGCGGCGTTGCTTCTGATCGAGAGCTTGCGAGCGAGTGGACGGTTGCCTGTGTGATGTTTCGTTTTTCGTTCGCGAGCCCGACGTCCGCTCTGCTCTGAATACCCACCACCGCTTTCCAGCCGGCCTCCCCTTTTGCTGGCACAGGGCCCGACGCCGCGCTCAGAGCTCCCGCTACAGTCTGTCTTTACTCCCCCACACTCGTTTGCCCTAGGCTCGCCCAGCCTCGTCATATACCCACCCGGCTCACCATGGCCCTAATCCAACTTTTCCTCCTTTTTTCCGTCGCTCGTGCGGCGTTTGCGGCGACTGCTGAAGAATGGAGGGGTCGCTCGATATACCAGTCAGTTATCTGCTGCTTACCCATGCCGTATAGGAGGCTGACGGACGCGTAGGATCATCGTGGACCGCTTCGCCCTGCCCGACGGCGCCGACCCGAATGCCTGCGACACCAGCAAGCAGACCTGGTGCGGTGGTAATTGGAAGACCATCAAAGACAACCTCGACTACATCCAGGACGCCGGCTTCACCGCAAGTAAGTTGCCAGCTCATGCACGCGACCCTGGACTAATATCCCTCCCAGTCTGGATCAGTCCGATCTCTCAGAATTACCAAGGCGAACGGACGCCGTACGGCGACCCCTACCACGGGTACTGGATTCAAGACGCCTCGAAGCTCAACGAAAAGTTTGGCACTGCTGACGACTTGAAAGCGCTCTCCGACGAAGTTCACAGGCGCGGGATGTAAGCATATACGTGGGCATCTACGAGGCGTCTCCATAATATAGCCGCAGGTACCTCATGGTCGACGTTGTGGTTAACAATGTCATGGCACTGTCCAACACCCCGGATCTGTCAAAGTTTTTGTTCAAGGAGCAGGTGTGTATAATGCACACCTTGAATTATTATGGAATCTCACCTCATTCTCACAGTCACAATACCACCCGTACTGCCCCGTGGACTACAGCAACATTACCAGCGAACAGAACTGCTGGCTGGGTGACACGAACGTGTACTTGCCTGATGTCAACACCCAGGATTCTACCGTGGTCAGCACTTACCAAGACTGGGTCAAGAACATGGTCCAGACGTACAACATCGATGGTCTCCGTATTGACGGTAAGCCGGTACCTTCCCTCATGGTCCGTCCGAGCTGACGTGTTTATCCAGCCGCTAAGTAAATACGAGCAGCGCATATATCGAGGCCCCAGGCTAACCTTAGCATTCAGGCACGTCAACACCGACTTTTGGCCCAAGTTTTGCGGCGCCGCCGGCGTGTTCTGTATCGGTGAAGTATATGAGACATCCGTCGAGTACGCCGCACTTCCCTATTTGTTACCCGCTGTCTAATAGTCTTCCCGCGCAGCAATGCTGCCCAGTACCAGGGCGAGCAGGCACTGGACTCTATCCTGAACTATCCTTTGTATGCTGCGCTTACCAACGGTTTTGCCATCCCTGGACCTCTCAACCTCTCGGCCATTGCTGACACCATGGCTCAGTCGAAGCAGAAGTTCAAGGTACGTAACAGACTTGTAAATGACTGAATGACGTTGATGGACATCTGATGATAGGACCCCGGACTTCTGGGCAATTTCTTGGAGAATCAGGATGTACCCCGGTGGGGGAACCTCTCGGTCGACCCGCAGAGTCTTTAGTGAGCTATTGTTACTCTCTCGGTGTTTGGAGACCGAATGCTGATCGGTCGATAGCAATGCGATGGCTTTCACGTTCATGTCCGACGGGTATGTTGTATCGCCTCGATAGCACTTCGGTGTCAATCTGACTCCGCGTGTAGTATTCCCATTGTCTACTATGGTCAAGAGCAGTACTTCAGCGGCGGTAACGACCCGTACAACCGTGAGCCCCTGTGGCCATCGAAGTACCAGAACACCACCGCATACCAGATCATGTCTACGCTGAACAAGGTCAGTGGATCCATGCGGATGGTCAATCCATGACAGCTGCTGATTTTGATCACGTCAGCTGCGCAACTTCCTCATTAACGGCACCGACGATTGGCTGCACTCGCCAGCGCAACTCCTGACGACGACCCCTCACGGCTTGTCGGTGATGAAAGGAAATGTCATTTCCATCTTGACGAATATCGGCTCTCCTGTAAGTTTGCTGCGTCAGGAATCCTGAAGGCAGCCGCTGATGTACTGGCTTGGTTTTTAGCCCGCTAATCTCAGTGTCGCTGTGTACACGCCCTTTGAGAACAACTTCGCCACAACTGAGTATGTCTTATTGATATGTGCTCACGAAGTCGCAGGCTGACCAACGCGCGCAGTGTCCTCTCCTGCCGCCAGTGGGCAGTAGGTAGCAACGGCACCGTCGACGTTGAGTACACTCGGGGCGGCCAGCCCGTCGTTTTGGTGCCCAGCTCACAGCTGGAGGGGTCTGGCCTGTGTGGCTACGCCGTGAAGAACAGCACGAAATCCGCTGCCAGCATGGCATCAGGGGCGCCCTCGGGCCTGTCACGATACGATGCCATGATGACGTCCGCTCTTTTAATCCTCCTCACTCTGGGGTCATTTGTCTTTAATTAGTTCAGTGTTTGAGTAGCATTGGGCGGGTTCGGTATTTTTCTTCGTCTTCATCTTATGCCAGCATTTTCTCTGTTCCTGTAGGGAGTAGTAGTAGCATTGGGATTTGTTCCACCCACATCGTGCATGTACCAATTAATCGCAATCATTGTGCAAAGGAGTCCTGTACCATAGCCGCTGCACAGATCCAACCATTTTGGTGATAGCGTTGGAGTCTTCCCCGCCCCTTCATTTGAGGCGGAGCCCGAAACGGCGGTCGCGCGTTCGCACACGACGGTCAGTGCAGGCTCCGCCACCATCGTCCTCGCCGCGCAAGGCAACCCTACGCGTGGTCTCTTCCTCCCTGCTCCCATTCACTTCCCGCAAAATTATCCAAAACGGCGTCCGGTGCTGGTGGCGTCCCTCGCCGCTCGGAGGCTGCGACACGGTCGCCCGCTATGGACTCGCCGTCGTCGAACAGCAATATACACACTATAGTCAAGGCGCAGATTGTCTTCCTGTTGTCCACGCTCACGGAGGACAACTTTGAGCGGAATCAGCTTGAGATCCGGTCGGTGAGTGTCGTGCGCTGGCTGGGACTGGGGGGGTACGTTGGGATGTGCACGCTGACTTGACGCGTGCGTACGCGCGTCTTCCACAGCTGTCCGAGCAACATGGGATCGATACGTATCTCCACTTCATCCGTCGCCTCATTGTCCACTCGCAAGCGAGGCTGTCGGGCACGGCGCCGCCGTCCGCGTTCGATACCTCGAGCGCGCTCACGTTCCGCCTCTTGATCCAGGAGACGCAGCGCCTCGCGCGTGACCCCTTCCTCGCGGACCGCTTCCGGGACGGCATAGACAAGGGCGAGGGTGATGTGTTCAGGAACTTTGATCTCACCCGGTTCGTGGACAGAGTGGGATTGCGGCCCCTCGAGCGCCTGGTGCTCGCCGCGTCCATCGTGTCGGTGCCAACGCGCAAGGAGCTCGCGAGCCAGGCACAGAACATAATCCGCACGGAGTTTGACAATGCTGTCTTGGCGCTGTGCCAGCACCCGTCGTTCGACCATGCGGACTTGTCCGTGTCGCAGCTCACGAAACTGATGACGAACCTCCTCCAAGATCCCCCGGACGACTCTCCGGTTCTCGATGCGACGCAAAGACAAGCCCTTATTATGGCTGCACAGACGAAGTACGGCCTGGATATCGTGATGCCCATCGTAAAGCGGATACTCCCTAACCTCACGTGAGTGTGTCTTAGCCGTGACAGTCTCGCGTTGTATAATCAAATTATGGCAGATTACCTCCCGGCACGACTGTTGTGCAAGCGCTGCAGCAGCTTGGTCCAGAGATCACTGAAGATCCTGAGATTGTCCTAGCTCTGTTCCATCGCTTCGGTATATCGAAGACGAACCCTCCTCGAGACGAGCAGGTTATCGAGATAATCTCAACGTTCGCGCGTCTAGCGACTGAAGGCGCTGTCTTGTGTGATGTATCGTCCGTTATAAGGGCTATTAATAGCTTTGTAAGTCATTCGTGGCCGGTAATTGGATATGTCTGACATTATATACAGAATCTTGAGCTTGACTGGCCGGCGGTCATCAAGTCGTTTGATCGTCCGGAAAGGGCCGTCGATACTGCTACCTTGAAGCTCCTGATCACGATCTTGCTAAGCGCTCCTCGGTTCGAACCGCATGCTGTGGCGGGTTTCTGGTCTGCTTGGGAGAATCCTATGTATCAGCTACGTCTCCTTGATGCTCTGTTGTCCCTTCCTGCCGATACGTTCAACTTCGTCTCCCTGCCTGGGAGGAGAATCGTGACCGTTGATGACGTAGCCAACGCCAGTCCTACCATCAAATCTCTTGCAGCCAATGTGCAAGGCCAGACTTGGAACTCCCTGGATTTGTTCGAAGTGCTGGTGACTCATGCCGGATCCGAGTCTCTGGAAGTGCACAACTACGTGCGTGAAATGCTGGACAAGGCTGTAAAAATCAGTGCAGAGCTTGTCCATATGGGCTTGTTGCAAGTCTCGGTAAGTACCTAACTCGGGTGAAGTTACAAGAATCCTCACGGCTGCCTTTAGCAAACCTCCTGGAACGACATCCGTCTGGAGTACACTCAGAAACTTCTCGCCATGTTCCTGGCCGGGCATCCGAACCACCAGCTCGTCTTCATGCGGATCTGGCAAATCGACCCCCCCTACCTCACTAATGCTTTCCGTGACTTCTATGAGGAGAGCCCACTCAACATCACTAGAATACTAGATGTCGCCCAAGATCTCAAAGTGAGTAACGATATCAAACCTCTTTGCACTTACCTGATCTGTCATCTCCCGTAGATATTAGACTCCCTTCTTGAAGTTCGCCCTTTCACCTTCGCTCTCGATGTCGCTGCGCTTGCCTCACGCAGAGAGTATCTCAATCTTGACAAATGGCTCGCGGATAACGTCTCCGCTCACGGTGCGGAATTTTTGCATTCCGTTATACAGTTCCTAGATATCAAAATGGAAAGCGAGAAGGCAACCCGTATCACTGACCCCGCGGTTGACCATCGTACGATGCCACTCAATCCTCAGACTATCGCCATCTTCTTGCGAGTCCTGCGAAACAGGTGCGATCTTTTATCTTTGTAGTAGATGTAACTCATGTACGTATAGCTCTTCCATGTTGCACGAGAGCGACGTGGACTACTGCTTGGAAGTCCGCAACGCCTGCCTGCAGATTCATCCCCGTTTAATGCCGCTAACCCCAGGATCGGATGCAGAGCCAGGTTTCACTGTGGTATCCTATTCGCCCGAAATCGAGGCCGAAGTGGACGCGATCTATAAGCAGATGTACGACGAACAAATTACTATCGATGAAGTCATAGCTATGCTCCAGAGAAACAAGGCGTCGTCCAATCCCAGGGATCATGAGATCTTCTCTTGCATGTTGCACTTCTTGTTCGACGAGTACAAGTTCTTTCAGGCTTTCTACCCTCCTCGGGAGCTGGCTATGACCGGGTACCTCTTCGGCTCCATCATTCAATACGAACTTGTCGACTACATCCCTCTTGGCATTGCTATTCGCTATGTCCTCGATGCTTTGAACTGCCCTCCGGAGACGAACCTGTTCAAATTCGGTATTCAGGCGCTCATGCGGTTCGAATCTAGGTTGTCGGAGTGGCAACCGCTTTGCCAAGCGCTTCTGAAGATCCCTCACCTACTGGAGGCGCGGCCAGAGTTGGTTCCTATCATCCAGCGGGCCATTGCGAATGCCCCGGAAGGGATGGCCAACGGCACTGACTTCCGTGTCCTACCCCCTGTGGAACCTGCTCCGGTCTTCACTGCCATTCAGCCCGACAAAATCGAGGATGAGCTCATTGTACCACCCGAGGAGACTTCTGACAAGATTCTTTTCATCGTCAACAATCTGGCCCCGAGCAATTTCGACTCCAAAGTCACCGAGATGAAGGAGTACTTCAAGGATGAATACGCTCGTTGGTTCGCCAACTACCTCGTCGATCAGCGCATCAGCACCGAACCCAACAACCACCCGTTATATCTCCGATTTCTCGATATGCTGGACGGACCCATCCTGCCCAAGTTCATCTTGCACGAGACCTATATCAAGTCTGCAGCTCTACTGAATTCCGAGAAGACCGCACAATCGAGTTCCGAGCGAGTGATTCTCAAGAACGTCGGGGTATGGCTTGGCACTATTACGTTAGCCCGCGACAAGCCTATCAAGCACAAAAATCTGTCTTTCAAGGACCTTCTTATTGAAGGCTACGACAACAATCGCCTGATCGTGGTGATTCCATTTGTGTGTAGGACATTGGAACCTGCAGCGAAGTCGACGGTTTTCAAGCCACCAAATCCGTGGCTAATGGCTATCATAAGTCTCCTCGCTGAGTTATACCATTTCGCGGAGTTGAAGCTGAACCTGAAGTTCGAGATTGAGATGCTGTGCAAGAGTCTTGACATCGACCTGGACGGAATCGAAGCTACCAGCGTTCTCCGAAACAGGCCCTTGACCGAATCTTTGGCTGGTCCCCCACTGCCAGATTACGTACCCGACATCGATGCGCTCCCAATAGGGGGGTATGACCCTGCCTCGCAGGTTTCCGAAGCGCAGGTTTTGGGTCTAGGGCCCACTAGTCCCTCAGACGCACAACGTGTCGTAGGGGCGCACATAGAATCTTTGCTGTCTCAACTCTCGCAGCGCGTGATGATCAGTCCCCAGCTACCGTTTGCGCATAACCACGTGTTCAAGCGTGCTGTCCAGTTAGCTGTGGACCGGGCGGTGCGGGAGGTGAGGATCTTGCTTTTTGCTTATGTACACATGCGGTCATATCATACTGACACTTCCTCAGATTATCATGCCGGTCGTGGAAAGGTCCGTCACCATAGCTGGTATATCAACCCGAGAGCTTGTGGCGAAGGACTTTGTGACCGAGCCCAACGAAGAGAAGCTCCGTAAGGCAGGCCATTATATGGCTCAGAAGTTGGCCGGGAGTTTGGCTCTTGTGACTTGTAAGGAGCCGTTGAAGAGTAACCTCACTACGCATATCAGGCAATTCTTGCTGGAACAAGGCTTCAGTGATGTCAGTTGTTTTACTTGCTTGTATCACATAGGCCTGACATTATCCACAGCAACTCGTTACCGAGAGTGTTGTTATGCTCTTGGTACAGGACAACCTAGACGAAGCATGTCACGCAATTGAGCAGGCTGCTATGGACCGCGCAGTGGCTGATGTGGACGAAGGATTCGCGACGGCGTATGAATTGCGTCGGCGCCATCGGGAGGTACATTATACTACGTGTGACCATTGCACGATCTGCATTGACTAATAAATCGCACAGCAACGAACCGGGCATGCCTTCTGGGACCAGACAGCTGGTGCAAGCAGCTTCGTTGCTAGTCTTCCTGACCCGCTTCGGATCCGCGCCGCTGGGGTTCAAGCGAATCAAATGCTCGTGTACGAGGACTTCGGTAAGTATGGTGCATGCGTTTGATGTCCGCATACTCACGAGTGTCAGCTACGGACGCGAGGCGACGTGTCACAGCCAGCCGACCTGGTTCTACTGTTTCGTACGCTCGGACTGATTTCTCGAGCATGGTCTACCCTCAAACGCCGGTGCAAGATCTCCCGCTTGCCGGCGCAAGGTTGTTTACACATGGAGAGGCCATGCAACGTTTTGCTGTGGGTATCGCTACATTTCTAATGTGCTGTCTTATCGATTAATTGCGGTCTAGTTATTGAACCAGGAGCTCGAGGCCTTCATCCCGCAGATGCCCGTGCAATCTTTGGCTGCGCTACCGCCCAATCATGACCTGCGCCAGATCATCAGGCAGATAGTCCTAGTCACCACTGAGTCACTGGAGGCCGAACGAACCGCCCTCCTCGTGTCCCAAAAAATCGTGCAATACTTGTACAGGACCCAGTGGCAGCTAGCACGAGAGATATACGTCGCCTTATTAGATCAACTGTGTCAAAACTTCGCGGACGTTGCGAAGGAGGCTATCACATGGCTCATATACGCCAAAGATGACGTACGTCCACACTCTTCCAAATAGATACCCGTCTGACTAGATCAATCTATACAGCGTAAATTCAACGTACCAGCTACCCTCACTTTGCTACGCAGCGGCTTGGTTCAAGTCCAAACTCAAGATGAACAGCTAGCGAAGCACCTGCACGTTGACCCTAAGATCCAATTGCAGAACTTCGCTGCCCGTTTGATTCGAGAGTGCCTGTCAATCGACCCGCCTATCGGCTCTCAAACACAGTGGTCGTTCACAATCGACGCCATGGATCAATTGTCACGGGCCGGCGAGGCTAATGAAGAGTAGGTGTCTTGCATCTTCATAATTTCCCCTTCTAAGCCATTCATAGGGTCACTCGACTGCTTGATGATCTGCGAGGCATCTCTCGGCTTCCTAACTCAACATCCGCCGACGGGCTTGGTTTCCCTGTGTCTGCGGCGAAGACGGAGACAGAGCAGCTGCGAGAGAAATTGTTCAGTTGGTTCCAGCAATGGGTCTCGATTTACCAACGCTCGCCATCCCCTGAGAAGGCGTTTGTTCCCTTCATCACCCAACTCACTAAGCAAGGCATACTGAAAGTGGAAGATGTATCGTCCTTCTTCTTCCGCGTCTGCGCTGAGTCCAGCGTGCAGATGTACATGAAATGCGTCGCCACCGGCGATTTTACGCACGCATTTCAAGCGCTGGATGCTATGGCAAGACTGATCGTGTATATCATCAAGTACCATGGTGATGCTTCAGGGGTGAATAACGACCAGGCCAAAGTCCATTATCTTACCAAGATCCTGTCGATCTTTGTCCTAGTCTTGGCGAATATGCACGAGGAGCAAGGCGAAGCTTTCCAGCAGAAGCCCTTCTTCCGATTCTTCTCTAGCCTAATCAATGATCTCCACACCATCGAGGCACAGTTAGGCACTGCTTACTTCCAACTGTTGATTGCCATAAGGTATGCTGTGAACTCTGCCTTGGGTCACTGCGCTTACCATTCATATCATTGTTTCGCAGTGACACGTTCAGTTCTTTGCAACCCACATATTTCCCTGGCTTCGCATTCTCCTGGATGTCCCTCATTTCTCATCGGTTGTTCATGCCTAAATTGATGTTACACGAGAACCGAGAGGTACGTAGATTCTGCTTCCAATGTGACTCTTACATTGAACTGGCGCGTAGGGGTGGGCCGCCTTCCACAAACTCTTACTGTCCCTCTTCAAGTTCCTGTCTCCGTTCTTGAAAACTGCGGACTTCAGACTGCCATCCAGAGACTTCTATCGAGGGACACTGCGGCTGCTTCTCGTGCTCTTGCACGACTTCCCAGAATTCCTCAGCGAATATTACTTCAGCCTCTGCGATGTTATACCACCCCGGTGCATTCAACTGCGAAACATCATCCTCAGCGCCTTCCCGCCTTCTTTGGTGCTGCCAGACCCTCATCTGCACGATGTGAAGAACACTTTGCCCGAGATGCGAACTATACCGCCTATTCTGTCAGACTTCACCGCGAGCTTAAAGAATGGCGACCTCCGCGATATCCTGGACCAACACTTGCTTGGTCGTGGGACGCCGTCGACGCTTCCATCTCTAAAGGAACGATTGCGTCTTCCAACTGTATCTGAAGGGGCCTCAGAAGCTTACAACTTGTCGTTGATTAACTCCGTCGTCATGTACATAGGGGTCTCCTCCGTAGCTCAGAGCAAAGCCAAAAATGGGTCCTCTTTGTTTCTTCCGAGCGACCCTGGTGTGGTTCTCCTGCAATATTTGGTGGAGAACTTGGACGTGGAAGGTACGTGATGTTTCAGAGCGTGATCTCACCTCTCTTGCTCAATCTGTCTTGCAGGTCAACACCATATCCTCGGCGCTGTTGTATTGCACCTGCGATATCCTAATGCTCATACGCATTGGTTCAGCCAGCTTCTGCTCCATCTCTTCTCGGAAGTCAAGGATTCGCGCTTTAGGGAGGTCATGACGAAGGTTCTCTTGGAGCGTTTCATCGTACATCGGCCACATCCTTGGGGCGCACTCGCCACGTTCATTGAGCTTCTAAGCAATCCGAAGTATGGCTTCTGGAACGAGGACTTTGTCCGAGTCACCCCCGAGGTCACCCTCCTCCTGGAAAGCGTGAGTTCTCGTCCCTCTCCAATCGTTATCATACATTGCTGACGCTCTTGGCAGGTTTCGAGGTCTTTAGTTCTCTAGAATCGTGATCGCTGTTGTCCCTGCTATCTGTTCTATATCTGTCTGCCTCTTTGCTTTGGGTTTTTATTGCACCACACATCACTGTATTGTATCATCTTAGTTCACGACCGCATTGTTCAAGGCTGTTCCTTTCCTGGACTTTGATTACGACTACTGTTTATAACCCACAAGCGTACTTTATATCCCACTGTATCACAAGGCAATACATCGTCATCCGGTAATTTCAGCTCAGTCTAACCATGACATGCCCTCATTCCATGTCCAGCCTGGACCCCAGAGACTGGAAGACGCTTGTCAGAAACAATTCAAGTGCGAGCATTCAATAGTAAACGAACCCCGCTCCCTTCACACCTGCGGCTCCTCGTTGATCGATAGAACTTCCGCTAATGACCAACCAATCTGGCACGGTGACACCAGTCCGGACAGGAAACAGCTTTACTACGCGCTCCAGAGTCAAAGGGTCATCTGCGAGCATGAAGACCACGTTATCGTCCGAGCGAGTCGGGTGCGGGTGTAGAAATATGGCACCTGGCATCATCTTGTTCTTTAGACGACGCATACTGTAATTCAATATGACCACCTACCCACGGAGTCACCGCCCAATGAACGACCTTGCAGTGCCAACGCGGTACCCTGGATAGCAAACGGCGTCTCCCCGCGACCCAAACACCATGTCGTGAAATTACCGGACGTGTTCCCGATGACGACTAGGGTGCCCCCTCCTACCTGATCCTCCTGTACTAGCCGCATCAAATGATCGTCAGTGATGATTTCCGCGTCCAGCTTATGATACAGGTTGAGGACATGGGCAAGTCGCAGGGCAACCGAGAGTGATCGGGTCTCCCTAGTATCGGAGATAACAATGAGCACAGGCCCCTTGGATGATAAAGCTGTCGACATGCGGCCGGAAGGCTGAACATTATCGACTCCTATACTCGCAACATCAACCTGAAATCTGATCATCTCTACCCGATATAAGATGCGAATGGCTGAGGTGACGTACATATACCTGACCCGGACGATCAACTGAGAATCTGAGACGGACAGAGCCAGCCTCCTTTGCAGAAGTGGCTATCGACACGTCAATTCCGTTGATAACCAAATCACCAGTAGGCAGATTGCGGCTATGGATGGAGAACGTCCGGATATTGACCGTCCTGACCTCCGTGAAGTTATCACGTTGGGAGACCACCAGTCTCCCTAGCCTGGGTGTACATCATGGGATCTTATCAGTGACTTACTGGGTAGGGAGGATATCTACAAACACTCTGACCTTCCGGGTGTATGCAGACTCTCGACGCTCCAGCCATGGAATGTTCCGGATTCAGATGGGACGGAAACGGTCAATGTATACGTTTCCGTCGTAGATATTGTGTGATTCTGCGTCGCATGATCCAAGAACGCTTGTACTTGGTCGCTAGCTAGAACTGAAGGATAATAGTGGGGCATTCCAGGATCTTCTTTCAAGCTAACATAGGACAGGTAATAATATTACCATGAACGACGACGTAATTGAAGATACACGAACCTGACATTGACTGTTGGATTCCAAGATTTCAAGATGCCGATGTATTCTCTTGAATGCCACACAGGTACATTCTCATCGAGCCCCCTGACAAAAGATCCATATACCAGTATATACCAAGGCGCAAGAGGAGACGTACCCATGCACTGCGAGGACAGGGGTGTTTACCAGGTTCGACAGGAATAGATCATTGTCGTCAGGCGTCAACGATGTCTCAAGAATTGCACGGAGCGCTGGGTCTATGAAATGCGCGGACCTTCATCCAGACGTAAGCATTTGTCTGGCTACCACTCTATCGTTCCTTGCGATACCCGACATACCTAGACTGCGTTAGTGGCACGTATGATTGCGATTTGATGTAACCGCTAGCAGGCACCGCTGGCACGAGGAGATGATATCGGACGTCGATGGCTGTTCACGCAGTGAAGACATGGAATATGCACGAACCGGCTATGACGCGGTCCGGGTATCTGGAGGCCATGTACCATGTACCCTGCCCACCATTGGAATGGCCGACGAGGATCACGCGAGCATCATCTGGTAGTCTCCAAAGGTGCCAAGGGGTGTGGCCTTTCAAGATGGCACCTAGGGCATCTACACTTTGCCATGCATCCTGCGCACTGGGACCATGCCAGTCCAATCCCTAAGATATCGTCAGATTTCTGGCAACCAAATAGAACAAAGCGTACCCAAGAAGTGCGGCCGGTGGGCAGTATGATCCAGCTACTGTTTTGCCGGGGTACAGCTTCCGACCAGGACGGGAACTTGAAGATGTCAACGCCAGCACCATCTGGAGAAGTCAGCGACTACCGCATTGTCATCAGCTGAGGGACTAACGAAGAGCTAAGATAGGAGGATGAGGGTCTCCGGATTCTGGTCCTTTCGGTGGGACGACGAGGAAAGCCGTTGGCGTCGAGTTCATGTAGAGGTATGAGGCTTTGATGGGCTGAAATTTGTCACTAGTCCACAGAGGATATTGCTTCACAGGGATTTCTAACGTCAAAGTAGTTGTTTTTTTCCCTGTCTTGAACCTTATGGTAATCCCTATCTCACTTCCTTTGAAGGGTCCAGACTGAAGCAGCTGCAAAGGAAGAACACGCGTCTGCGTCGGTGCAAGCATAACGTCATGAACCAGACTGAGTTGCAATACCTGGGTTTGGTCAGTTAGACGTAGCACTGAAGAGGGGAGCAAGTAACTTACATCGGTCGACGTCAGAAGCTGGACCTCGTTCACGGTCCACCAATCGGAGGCGGAACGAAAACCAATGCCCAAAGCACTGCCGAAAGCCATTCCGTCAACGAAGTCGCAGGTGATGTCTTGAGAAGGCACTCGAATAATTTCTCCGCCGGGGTGGTCAATTTCGATGTTGAAGTCCACACTCAGAACTGGCACATCGCTGTGGTACGCTGCTGGATCTCCAAACAGGCGGATCTGGGCGCATCAGAGCTGCAGTGGCATGCATGCATGAGGACACGGCAAACCTCATAGTCTCCACTGACGAAAACGTTGTATGTAGTCGGGCTGCTTGTAGAAGGAGGTGTCGAGAACGTAACGACCTGCGGAGGATCTCTCCCCAGTGCGTATATATTACCATAGTGCCATTCCGGCGTAGCAGTTGCCTCCCCTTCAGCAGGAAGGATAGTGAAGAAGGAGCCTTGTAACAATTTGATAGCCAGCTTTGGACCTTCGGTTTCAGAACTCTCAGACGCGGGCGGGTAGACCGTCAAGGTTGTCCGCAGGACTGTGTGGTGCTGCAAGGCTGCCCATCCCTCAGTAGCTCGCAGGGCATTCCATCTACATGACTTATTTCAGTATTTAAGCTAATGGATAATGGCTGCGCATAATGACCGTATTTCAGGGAAGGTGACTTCCAAGTGGCCATCCGTGCTGGCTTCTGCTGTGGTCCAGCTGACCATGCCGCCATCTGCCAGAGACGAAGGCCATGTCTTCTTGTAATCTATGGGTTTAGAGACTAATGACCAGCATTATAAATTGATTTCGAGGAAGCATCGGCAGAATCTGAGCTCACCGTCAATCGGAAAGGAAGGGGATAAGAAATGCTGTTCGCGTGCATGGATCGGAAACGGCCCCAGGACCTGAATGAATGGATGAATTACTTCCAACTCGTGTACTGGGCAGCGTAAAAGGGAGGCCACTGACATCCCAATGTTTGGATACATGCACTTCCCACCGACTTTCTGCAGCGAGTGGCGCCTGCTTCGCGGCTCCCATGGACAACAGACAGAAGATGCTGCAGATCGTCCACTGCAGCAGCCTATATCGACTGGACAAAATGACTCGCATCGCAATTCGCAATTCGACATGCGAATGAGAAGTGATGACTCCACTTGGACCGGGGATGCACAAAAACTGTGTTCACACACACATTCTCAGCCTATTAGCAGGATTGCACTCGTCCTAACCTTGCTTCAGCACACCGGGATGACCAGATGAATCGATGACGCCCAATTCACATTGCAAGTTCAGCTATGCTAGAGTAGAAGAGGAATGCAAATAATCGACAACAGCAAAAGTACGACATTCGAGTGAGGGGATAAAATACAGCAGACAGTCTGGAAGGTGAAGCCCAGCTTGATCCTCTTTCAGGTATCATGGATGAATCATCTACTATGTGAAGGGTAATATTGCGTTACTGAGAGGAGATGCTTATTTGGTCGTCTACAGTGAAGGTCGCATCAGCAAGTCATCCAGGTCTTCGCGATCACTCTTCACTTACAGCAAAGCCGTTGGAGCGACTTGAGTGGTATGAAGAGAGGGTGTGCGATTGCGATGCCCGATAGCCTCTCGTAGAGGAGCCAAGCGTTGCATGAGAGCTCGAGGAGCTCGGGGTATTCGGAACAATAGAGGTATTCGTCCGGCTGATACGAGCAGTGAGAGGTGTGGGGGCACTGATTTGAGACTTCTTGGGTGTGTCCGTTGGTTTGCTTCGACTACTGGATAAGTTGGTAGCGGAAGCTAGCAGAGCCTTGGCAGTTCCAGGCGTAGGATTTTGGATCTTCGGCCGCTTGCCACTCGTGATGAATGGATGCCGGGAGGCAGCCTGGGGTTTCATGCGCTTTTCAGGGTCCCAGACCAAACATTTACTGATGAAGTCGACGAAGAGTTCATCGTCGCACCGCAAAACTTGCTGTAAGGTCTTCGTCCCGGGGCGCCTTCGCCGGCCTTTAGAGTTCACGACCGGTCGAGGGGCACCAGTTGAATCTGCATCTACAGTGCTGAGGATATATTTCTGTGAAACGATAACGAACATGACGTACCGAAAAAGATTCTCTTCCGAGAACTGCGATTGACGAAGTCTTTATCTGGCACTCCCAAAACCTCCATGATACACGATAGCTGTTCTTGCTCGTTCTCGCCGGGGAAGATCGGGAAGCCGGTATACAATTCGGCTAAGATACAACCCAGACTCCACATGTCAATAGCCATATGATAGTTCATGCCGAGGATGACTTCAGGTGATCGATAGAAACGGCTTTGGATGTATGTGTAGACTAGGGCGAGATGAGCGCATATACGAGGCAAATTCGAGATTTACGCATACTTTTCTCGTGTTCAAAACAGCTGCTCCCAAAATCAATAACTTTGATAGCACTCTTGGCAGGATGCTTGAGAAGGACATTCTGAAAAAGATCAGGTAGGTCAACGTCAGATCCAACAAAGGACGCCAACGCTCCCGTACCTCCGGCTTCAAGTCACAGTGCACCACCCGATGGCTTCTCATCAGAGAAAGGGATGCGAGCATTTGGCTCGTGAAGCGTCGTATCAAAGCAGTCGTAAAGCCCACGAAACCGTTGGCCTTGATCAGCTCATACAAGTTGATACTCAAGAGTTCTGTCGCAATGCACAGATGATTTCGGAAATAGAAGTGCTCCGTCATCTTGAGCACGTGGTGCTTCTCGTCTTGATCCTGCAGGCAAACATTAGCATGTATGCACTCCAACAATGGGCGGATGGGTCGCGTACCCATTTCCTCAGGTTCTCTAGGATCTTGATCTCAACCAAGGCCTGGTGGTGGAAACGCTTCTTGTTACGAATGATCTTGATGGCCACCGATTCGCCAGTGCAGTGATCGCGGCAGCGGAGCACTTGACCGAACGACCCCTTACCCAAGGTATCGACGACTTCGTAGCGGTACGCTAAGTGGTCGCCAATGACGACCTGATAGTCCCCACGGTCGTCGTCGTAACTGTAGTTGTTAGTGGGATTACTGGGCGTTGCAGGCTTTTTGTCGCTGCGAGCACCGTAGTAGTAGACGTTCGGATAGTCAAGGACTTCCTTCCGCTCATAGTCAGAGAGCCACTGAGCCTGACTGCTCCGTAGTAGGGCTGAAGACAGAGTTGAATAAAAGCAACAGAAGGCACAATCAGATACGCACCATTGGGCGACATTGGACTCGCGGGTGGAATGGGCTCCGGAAATCGGAGCAGCGCATCCAACTCCTCCTGACTAGCTCCAGCAGCGACTCTCTTCGCCTGTTGCCGCTTGATGTAGTTCATCATCTCTTCGTCGCCTGCCAATTCTTCCTCATCCACGCTACTTGGCACAGGCGAAGGAGTCGATAACGACAACCTACTCGACGAAGGGGACGCAATGGTCTGATGGATATTCTGACTATTGGATGAGTGACCCGATCTTGCACTGGGGAGCGACATTTTCGGACTAAGCAACTTGAGACCCTTTGAAGGCGATAGTGCCGAGAAACGATGATGATGTGACTCGCTTGGGGCAGCAGAAGAGACCGAGGCAACAGAAGCAGTAGAGGATTTCCGGAGACCAGAGAATGAGATCGACTCGCGGTTGGGTTTCCTGGATGAACCGGGCCCGGCCATGGTAGAAGACTGCCGAGGAACTCTGGAGGGAGACGAACGAACGGAAGCTCGGGGTGCAACAATCTGGGAAGAAGACTTGGACACATTCGATACGTCGAGCTCGCTAGTGTTGTCCATAACTCCAAACTCGTTCATCGACCCATCTGGAACAGGAGACGGATTTGCAGAAGAGCTACCGACTGCGGCGACATTGATGCTTGTGCGACGACTGGCAACAGTCGAGCTACCATTCCTCTGAGACGGCGAACCAGCGGCAGATGATCGACTAGCGATGCGGGGGATCTTCGTGGGCGTCTCCTTTGGCAAGCCAGATACCGAGTTCATCAACGACGACGGCGGGAGATCCTTGGACTCCTTGGACGTGTGTGAGTTAACCGTGCCGACGGAAGGCGAACCCGCGATGGTCGGTAGCTGGTTCCGAGTGCTGCGAAGAGACGCGTCGGACTGCTTCTGCATGGAGCTGACCGTCTGGGATGTGGCCCGCGATGGCCTCGCGGCACTCGAGCTCGACGACGAAGACGGGGAACCGGCATTGAGCTTCGCCAGGCGCTGCGTCGTCGACGGGGGGAGAGCTGAGATCTGCATGGGAGGCAAGGCCACAGGTTTGGCTTTCTTTGGCTCGGCGGAAGAGAGAGTCTGTCAAACAGCGTGAGTGATTATGTAACGACTGTCCAACGCAGTGACGCACCTTGCCACGTTTCCTGCCCATCAATACGGATATCCTGCTTTCACTGCGGTCTTTGTCGTCTTTCTTTGCTCGTTCCTTGTCCGACGTCCTCGAGCTCTCTTTCGTACTCTTGGGATCGCTCTTGTCCTGCAGACTCCTCTTCGACGACGACCCCTTCAGCAACGAACCGAGGCTCATGATCGAGGATTTCTTATGAGGAGTGGTCGGGGACAGCAATGCATCTTTCGTCGTGGTCGGTGAGTCACTATCCTTGCGAGACAGCGTTGCGGTAGTCGGGACATCCGAAGGATATGTCGGCGAAACCGACGAAGGCAAGTCTGGGTGGGTCGTTTGCATAGACTGAGAAGAAGAGCGGCGGAAGAATGGAATGGACGAAGGCGTGAGGCGCTTGGAGGAAGTACCGCGGCGGACCGAAGACGAAGGACTGAGGGGCGCCGTCTGAGGCGCAGGCATAGTCTGGTTGGTCCCACCACTCGACGGGGTTCCCGCGCGACTGGGTGTATGCATTCCAGACCCAAGCATCGGCGGCAGCGAGGACGAAGGCGAATTCCTAACTTGCACAGAGCCCACCGAAGACAGCGAAGCCAGCGACGAAGCAGAGGCCATAGCATCAGGTTGGATCGGCGACCAGGCTTCGGCGGATGCCTTCGGTTGCGCGGACGGCGAGAGCGGCTGATCCTTCGACGCTGTCTTGCGCAGCTGCGAGCCAAACGTCGCCGACCGGGGACTCACGGAGAAAGCGGGAGTTCTGTTAGATGAATGCACAGAAGTCGACGAGGGTGAGCCTGAGAGCCTAATATTCAGAGCATGGGAAAAACTCCACTTCTTCGACGGCGTCTTCTGAGGCGCAGGGGCAGAGTCGGAGGACGTGTACCCGCCCTGACTAGCCATGCTGTCCTGACGGACGACGGGAGGAGGCTTCATAGGGATAGCAGTAGCCTGAGGTATCCCGAGATTGTCCTCTGTATCAGTAGCTACCGTACTGTCACCTTCTGCCTTCTCGTCGATATCTCCGATAGGCGGTGGGAACGCCATGCTCGCAGACGACAGCGGCGGCGTCTTGAACTGGTTTAGATCCTTTGGCAAGGGCGGGACCGGGGGCACGGGCTCGTCCTCACCTGCCTCTCCGCCGGCAACGACGCCCTCCCCCGAGTGAATGCTCGACACATCGCTGCTCGCGCTGTTCCGCTTCAGCTTGCTCGAGGAGTGCCGGCCCGACGCGGCCGAGACAGACGTGACGCTGGTAGCCGCAGAAAGCGAGGTAGAGTCCCGCGAGCCGGCCGTCGTCGGTGTGCTCGTGTACGTCGTGGAGGACGCGGAAGTCCGCTTGGGGGTAGCAAAGTTGACAGTCGAGCGCACGCTCGACCTCTTGGCCAGCTTGTCCGGCGCGGGAGAGGACACCTTCTCGTCGTGGCTACCGGATGCTTCACCTGCGTCAGCAGCAGCCTCGCCCCCTCCATGCGCCGGGGAAAGCGCGTGGCGATCGATACCAGACAGTCTGTCCTTTGCCTTGTCCCGTAACCCAACGCTGTCTCTCGCACTTGCTCTCTTGGAGGATTTCGCGCTTTCGCTGCTGCTGATGCCCTCCCACTGCGAACCCTTCGCTGCCCCGGGTGTACCAGGACGACTTGAGCTACCTGGCCGACCTACACTCACGCTTGACCTAGCTCGGGCACTTTTGCCAGAGAGCCCGTCAAGCTTACGTAGAGCCTCGGCGGTTGCCTCGTCGTCCATTCCGGACCAGCCCTCCTGAGTTCCTCGAAGCAGAGAGTGCGCAACATTCGGCGAGGAATGCAGATGGCTCTCCCTGGATGAACTGTGCTTGAGGAACTGCTGGATAGAAGAGGTCGACGGCGAAGGCGGGAGGTGAGAAAAATCAGTGGTATGCACGCGTCGGCCGTGGTGGGGCTCTGCTAGGTTCGACATCGAAGAGCTCGCAGACGTGTGCCGAGAATGCTTTGACGGCTTTGAAGAGACAGACTCTCGGTTGAGCGCCGATGCTTTCGGAGTAGCACCATTACTGAAGGATCCGCTGTCTCTCCGCCGCTCCCTGGTAGCCCTGTCACGTTCCCGGGGACTGGCAGAAGGCAAGCCAACACCAAGGCTCCGATGCCGACGCACAGACGCCTTTTCCTCCTTGCTTTTATCCTTGACCGACGCAGGCACCGACGCGCGGGAGCCCTTCGAGAAGATGTCGCCCGACTGGTCCATCTCAAATTCGTCCGACGTGCGCTTCTTGGTGCGGTGCGCGCCGGTCTGAAACGCGCTCGGGGGCGAGGACGTCGCTATCGCAACGCCGTGCTCGTCGACCTGCTCCGTATTTTCTGAGCCTTGTTTGCTGGCACGGGGGGTGTCCGACGCCAGCGGGTTCCTCGGATAGAGGATCTCCTCCCCGCCGCTTTCCTCCGCCATCGACCGCCGGGGACGGACGGCGCGGGAAACGGGCTTCATCTCCTCCAGCTGACAGGAAATCAGCAAGAGACGTGCAAAAATGACAGTGACCTTACCTCGGCCGAGTCCTCCAGCTCGCCGTCGATTGCTTCGATCGTCCAAGGACTGCCGGGCTCGTCGTCGTTGTCCGGACCTTCTCCGTTGATAATGCTATACTGCTCTTCGTGATGTGCTGGAATCGCTACCTCCGGCGACTCTGCCCGCTCCTCAGAGTGATTCCGCCCGCTGCGCGCCCATCGAGGAGTAGCGAGCTCGCCGACCCCAATAAGGGCTTTCCTATCGATCGCTGCGGGATTGCGGGCGGGCGTGATGGGCTCGCTCTGCGCGACGGGCTGGGAGTCGGGCGTCTTGCTCAGAAAGGGCGGCAGATCGGGCACAGGGACAGGCGCAGGGGATTCTGCGGGGGTGTGCACGCCGAAGTAGTACGGGTCCAGAGAGGAGGTCGCAGAGGCGGAGCGGGGCTGTTCGGGATCCGTCGCGGCTCCGCTGTTGTCGTTTGCAGAAGATACGTGGAATCGAGGCTAGAGTGGTAGTTGGGATAGGGTGTGAGTATAACTGAGGAGAGGCATACCTGTTGTTGCGCGTGCGGTTTGCGAGCGTCGGCGCCAGCTGCGCGTTCGTAGCGGACGTCGCCGTCGGACGCGGCGTTGGGCTCGGTGAGCGCGAGCGCTGGCGGGCGATCTCTTCTCTTCGAATATGCCTTGCTAGACGCCACTTGAGCGGTGCGAGGAGAGGGCGGGGCAGACATGAAGAGAGGAAATCAAGGAGCGAAAAGAAACGAGGGACGGAAGAAAAGAGAAATATAAATACTGATATGAGACAGAGGTGGACGTCGTTTGGGCGGGCGAGACTGGGGCGGATGTCGAGGTGCACGGACCTGACAACGCAGAGGACGTTCAAAGTCGAGCGTCGAGCGGTTGAGGCACGAGGACGGCATTTGGCTTTGTTTGGCGGGTGGCGCGGCTGTGAGTGGCTTCAGTACAAGTTACTAGTATAGTTGCTATTAGTTATCGATGCCTCGGTGCACTGCGGAATCAGTGTCAAAAGACGCATTGTGTCACGAACAGCCTGGACTCGTATTAATTCGAGAATAAACTTTCATACAAAGCGTGTTCCGCGAGCGTGCCGCGGTCTGCGAATAGCGGGGCGTTACTCACTCCCAGGCATGATATTGATATTGAGCGGAGTTTCAATTCTATAGCGGGCAAGCTCACGTGGCCCATGAACGACCCTCAGGGAGTTCCAGGATTATGTATTTGGGTCGAAACCGTCAGAAAACTCACTTAAATATAATGCTATAAAACTTTGTATAGTCTCAATTTTTTATAATCGCGTCCCGGCCGCCATGTCAGCCTTGTTGCTGCGAGCGCGAGGCGGGCGTTGCCGAGCTCATTAGCGAGGTTCGAACTCCGCTCAATATCATGAACAAGCTGTATACCTGTATATAGCCGTTCAAAAAATCTGATACTTTTATGCGATACTCTATCCTGAAGTAAAGAGTGTCCTACATACTTGTGGCGAGAGGTACACAGCCGGAAAGCTCGCAGGCGAGGACTTTCAGTCGCAGCCACCGCTGATCTTGTGCGGGGTTCTAAGCGTGGGAAATGTGCACCGAGCGTCTCGCATTCGACATCGCAGTCAGCGACTACGAGGTGGAAAGCATGTTGTGTACTATGAATCCTTCAGAAGATCTCTTACTTGTAGCTACCTGAGCCATGTAGGTGTTGTAGGCAATCGGTAGGGGGTATTTTCTTAGTTACTCAGTCAATACCAGGTCGAAGACCAGGGAGAAAAATGAAGTGCACATCAAATTTGCGAGAACCAGAATCCTATTATAATAGAAATACATCTCCTGCCTCACAGGCGAGCAGCGGGATGTTGCATGACTAGCTCATGAGCAAAAAGCAGCCTTCCAGCCACAAATAGCCATATTTGGATGTTGCCACATGGCTCCCTGAGCCTTCCCCCTTTTTCTTTTTTCTTTTTCTTTTTCTTTTCTTTTTACTGCAGTGGTATCATTATCGAGCCCGAATAGCTCTGGCGGAGAACGCGACCGGACTTTGGCAGGGCGTGCAATAGCGCCTATCAGATGACAAGCACATAAAATAGCCATGCCAGCCCGTTTGCTCGCACCGGTCTCCTTTGGCGCTCGACGTCGTTGGCCGCGACATTGGCCCCAGCGAGTCCGCGCCCGACGCCGTCGACGACGCCCGCGTCTCTGCGTCTTTCCATCGCCGCGCCGCCGGCCGCGCCAACTCAGATCTTCGCACCGCCCAGCTCAGCGAACCCGCGCCCCCTCCACCCCGTACGCCAGCCGCGACTGCTCCGCTGCCTGCCTTCACTGACGCTTCTTATGCTGCCAGTCGCCCTCGCCGTCGCCCGCAACCCCGGCGTCCATTCTAGGCGTTTATCCAGCGTCGGGAACGCCGTTCGCGCCCTGTCCGTTATACTTGCTCCCCGCGCGCCCAACTCGCCACCCCACAGCGGCCCTGTCTTGACATGAGCAGCCCGGGCAACGATGCAGCCGACGACCGCCCGCAGGACTCGCCCGTGTCCCACGACGCCCTCCAGCCCCAAATGACCATGCACCCCGTCGCTTACCCCGGCATGCCCATGCACATGTACCCCTTCCCCACCAACATGTCCCTCTCCCAGCCCCTCCGCACCAAGCGGCGCCAGGTCAAGAACGCCTGCACCAACTGCCAGAAGGCCTGCAAAAAGTGCGACGACGCCCGGCCCTGCCTCCGCTGCGTCAAGTACGGCATTGCCGAGGAGTGCGTCGACTCGCAGCGCAAGGAGAGGAAAAAGGGGATTAAGCGAGGACCTTACAAGAAGCGCGATGGAAAAGGTGAGTCGCGTCCCCCCTTCCTCACCTCCACTCTCTCCTGTCGACGAGTCTAATACAACCGGAGCGCGCGCAGGCAGTTCCACTTCAGACCGGGCGGACTCGCCTGGCACCTCGGCCGCGGGCTTACCACCCGCCATCGCGGCCGCGATGCCTCCCGCCCAGATGTCATACATGCCCATGGGCTTCGCCCCTGCTGGCTTTTACCCGCCGTACCCGCCGGGATCCTCGCCCAAGCCCGGCGAGGCCCCTACGTACATGCCCCCCTTCTACTTTGCCCCGGTAGCAGTCCCCCCTCATTTGGCTGCTCCCGCTGGGCAGGAGGGCGAGGGCGCGGTGTACCCAGTGGGCACCCAGTTCTTCTCGGCGCCCATCCTGGCCACCCACTACGGCCAGCCATATGCGCCGTACATGATGCCGCATAATGGCCAGGTGCCCGTGCCTGCGGGCCCCTTTGCGGCCTACCCGGCCATCTATCCCAAGCCGCCCTCAACTGGTGGTCTAAACGGTGAAGGGTCCTCAGGGAGATCGGGTGAAAATGGTGACTAATGTAGGTTGGTCTGCCTTTTCCAAATACATGTTTTGTTCTTGTTTTCTTTTCTTGCTTGTGACCTTGTATATTGCTTTGCTTCTGCTGTATTATGTATGTTCCAAGGGCATATATTGCTGTTGTTTTGGATATATTCTTGATGGATGCTTTGCTCAGCCTAGCTGGAATGTTTGGATAAATGTATCTTGTGTACTTGGACAATATACTATGCCATTCATATCTGTCTTTACAAGGCCCAAAGAACTCTTCAGGTGACATGATATGCTATGTTGTTGACATTGCTCTCGCTGACTTCACGACGAGTCCGCGACACTAACTCCGACGAGCCTTTCGCCGCGGAGGTACGATGTACACAGCGTCGTCTCTCAATGTTCAGTCATTCACAGTATCACCTGAAGACTTTATTGTGCAACATATTCCCTGTTACTCTTCGTTGTTGACAAAGTGCACGAGAGACGGGCGGATTGGATTGGTGACATGCATCCGTCCTTTCACGGCGAGGTGCAACCTGCAACCGTTCGCGCACTTACCGCCCGTCGGGCTCGGCCCAACAGCACTCCGGAGGACCCATAGTGGAACTAGTACCTCTCCCATTCGACCGTGCCAGTAACCACGACTCGTACCCGAGAGAATGGCCACGAAGTCGGACAGAAAACTGGTTGTCTTGCACGAGTTGCCCGATGACTTCCAGCGCCAGTCACCACGAGGAGGGCTAGGTGCTGAGATTATAACGGTGGGAGTATCGGCGGTTCCTCTAAACGGCGTTGGGTATCCGGGTCCCAAAGATAGTTGATGTACGCCGGCCCTACAAGACAAGGTTCGTAAAATAGGTGACTTACACGAAGTAGCTGTACTCGGCCGCCCGCTCTCGATTCTCCGATGCGAATCAGGCAAAGGGAAAGCACCGAACGCCCATGACGCGTTCGATAACGTTTCATGTACTGTGTTATGAGCGTTCGATGGGTACGAAGTTTGCGCTTACCGTTCCCATAAATTACACTTTGCTCGTGTAGATGTCACAAGACTTCCGCAGGGCCCCACGCCGTATACAAACTTAGTACCTGTCCCAACGGGTGGACTGAGCGGTCTTCTTATCAAGTTCAAACTGTCAGCCTGCGGCATGCCAATCGCGTACCTGCATGGGCGATGACCCTGTTCATCACATTGGACGCTTTTACGACGTGCTGTGTATAGCGGCTCTTCTTCCAAATTCCTCATGTCTCACAGAGGAATGAAAAACCCGATGTAAATGGGCGCCCAGGATTCATGCGGATCTTGCAACGTGTCCTAGGACCTGTACACAGCAACATACATTATTACAATATCACGGAAGTCGTGTCCTTGTCAGCATACCGAATCCAACCGCTAAAAACTCAACTTCGGCGCTCCGCGTGAATGACCTCGTAGAGCGATACAAAGTTCATACCCGCTTCGTTGTATCAAACCCCTTGATTTTTGAACGGCCCATAGTGCTATCCGAACGGCAGGTGCTTATTAATGACTGTCAAATACAGCGTGAACGCGGTGCACATACTTTGACTTGAGCCATAGACCGTGCCGCTGCATCAGTGGAAGATGCCGCCCTCAACAGGCATATTTCAACGACTTCTCCGCCCAGGCGCTGAAGTTGCACCCGGCAATCGATGCATCTCACCAAGCTCCTCACCCTGCACCATAATCAGAAACTTGAGCGTAGCCGCCGACCTAGTGCTGGCTGCACCTTCAGAGTGGCCTTCCATTGAACTTTGGTATGAGGCCGTGCGGACATAGTTAGGATCGAATCGGAGATGCCTCGCTGAGTTAACGCGGAGACCGCGCGAGCTGGACTGCGGTCACCGGCAGATCCAGCCTGCCACGGGTCGGCACGGTGCCGGATCTCCTGCTGCTTTTGCAGAAGCGAGTATCCCACCACGCACATGCCTTTTGCACAGCTCCGCAGAAGCTGTGTGGCTACTGTAAAAGCTCAATCGTGCAGGAGCATCATGGCGGACCTTGTCTGGGCGTTCGCTGAGTACAGCGGGGATTCCGCGATTGATGGCACAGGAACGAGGGCCTACCTCGAGGACTTCCATTGTAGAGTCTTGTTGGGGCTCGTTCTTCTGTAGTATGCCTTTATTTCCGTAGCCTTCACTAGCTCAAACCTTGTAATGAGATATTAAGGACACAAGTTGCTTGACTCACGGAAGAGCTTGACATAGAGGTACTTAATCAGGCGAGCGTATTGATATACTCAAACAGCCAGCTGAGTGGGATATGTTGTGCGCGTATCGCAGACCCCTAGTAGAAACGTCCCCGTCCCCAGCTTCAGGAGTCGCAAGTAGTGTGAGGTGTACACTTACACGTGAGGGGCAATCGTCGCTGTGGAAGGAACCGAAACGGATAAATTATACCTCTGCCGTACTTGGATTCGCCTAATGGAAAGACAATTTATGGAAAACCAGATTTATAGTCTTCAACTTGTTTCAGCAGGCATGTAGACAGCCTCAAGCAAGCGGCCTCTTAATCGCAGTTGTACGCCAAAGCCGTTGGTGGCAGAATCCGAAATCTCGGATGCTTTGAAGCCGCGGAGTCCTTTGCCACCGCGTACCAACCTCAACTCAACCTCACTTTGTCTCGAGCTCGGTATTCGCTCGGTTTCCCAGTACAATGTCCACTGAATCAGCACCGAAGCGCCGTCGCGTAACTCGCTCGCCGTCCCCAGAGAAATACTATAACCTAGACGAATCGTACGAGCCTTACGTTCCTATCGCGCAGCGGCGCCAGGCTAAACTTGCCAAACTCTCATCTTTGGGCGCCGCCTCAGACAAAGAGAAAGCCAAACGGGCGCAAGAAGAGGCGGACGAGCGTGCGGATGAAGAAAGGGAGGAGGAACTGCGGAAGGAGAAGGCGAGGAGGGAGCGGACGTTGCTGATGGAGGCGCAGGAGGTGCACAATCGGAAGGCGGCAGAAGGTGCGTGTTGGAGTTACTTGGACGATCTACGGCGGATTTGCTTAACTGTGTAGATGCGCAGAAAACGGAGGTTGAGAAGGCGGAGGAGAAGGATGCTGAGATTCTAGCGGCAATTGCTGCTCGTCGGAAACTGGCTTCTGATCTCGAGCTGGCCAAGGGTATCCAGTATACAGAACCTCTGAAGACATCGTAAGCTGCTGTTAAGCTCTCGCGTTGCTGCCAATACTCACGCCTTTCCCGACAGATGGCGTCCTCCAAAGTATATCCGAGAAAGACCAGATGAAGAGAATCGACGGCTCCGAGAGAAATATCACATTGTTGTTGAGGGGGAGGATGTTCCTCCGCCCATTGAACACTTTCAGGTCCGTGTATGTTGGCATCTCTCAAGTATCGCTACTCATTGTGAATATAGGATATGAAGATTCCTGATGCCTTGCTCAAGTTCCTGAAGTCCAAGCGAATATCCATGCCCACTCCCATCCAATTACAAGGCATTCCAGTAGCGTACGTACACCATTGTACTACAGCCTGGACGACAGAATCTGAACTTCGAGATAGGTTCTCCGGACGTGACATGATCGGCATTGCCTTCACTGGCTCTGGCAAGACCTTAGCTTTCTGTCTTCCACTCATCATGTTTGCCTGTGAGGAAGAGGCCAAGTTACCCCTCGTCAAAGGGGAAGGTCCGGTCGGCGTCATCCTGTGTCCATCCCGAGAACTGGCTTCGCAGACGTACGAGAATATCTTGCAGTGGACAGACGCGCTTTCGCGGGAAGGGAAGTACCCGCGGCTCAATACTCTCCTGTGTATAGGAGGAATATCCATGAGCGAGCAGAGTCACGTCCTGAACAACGGGCTGCATATTGTGGTAGCGACACCCGGTCGACTCATCGACATGTTGGAGAAGAAGCGGTTCACTTTCAACAACTGCAAATATCTCTGCATGGACGAGGCAGATCGCATGATCGACCTCGGTTTCGAAGACGATGTCCGGAATATCATGAGCTTTTTCAAGGTGTGCACGTTTCTTGCATGCCTGGCAGTTTGCTAAATAGATGTACAATGTAGCGGCAAAGACAGACGTTGTTGTTTTCTGCGACCATGCCTAGAAAGATCCAAGACTTTGCGCAGCAGTCTCTGATCAAACCTGTCTTGGTGAACGTGGGACGTGCGGGTGCAGCGAATTTGGACGTGTTGCAGGTTGTGGAATATGTCAAGCAGGAAGCGAAGATGGTTTATCTTCTGGAGTGCCTGCAGAAGACTGCCCCTCCGGTGATCGTTTTCAGTGACAACAAGAATGAGGTTGATGGTGTGTTACCTTGGCGTCGTCAAGTGCCGTTCTGACCATCACATTTAGATATTCAGGAGTATCTGCTATTGAAGGGTGTTGAAGCAGTGGCTATTCACGGGTCTAAATGTTGGTAGACCTTGATCGTGATAGGTGTATCGTGCTGATTATTTTCGATAGCCCAGGAAGAACGGCAGTATGCCATCAAGGCGTTCAAGTCTGGGGCAAAGGACGTCATGGTCGCCTCAGGCGTCGCTTCCAAGGGTCTTGATTTCAATGACATCCAGCATGTCATCATTTTCTCTATGCCAAAGGAAATCGAAGACTACGTCCATCAGATCGGACGTACGGGACGTAGTGGAAAGACTGGGATAGCGACGACATTCGTCAACATGAATACCCCGGAGCAAACGCTGCTGGATCTGAAATACCTGCTGATGGAGGCTGGGCAAAAGTTAGTGGAACCTTATTTATGCCTGCAGGAGCTAATGGAGATTTCAGAGTTCCCCCCTTCCTGCTGACCATCGACGACCCTCGTGCGGTCCAAGGAGGGTCCCTGAAGGGCTGCCCGGTCTGCGGAGGTTTGTGCTCTCTGCTCTCGTATCTTTTCGTGATGGCTAAGTTGCGTCACAGGTCTGGGCCACAGCATCTCCAACTGCCCGAAGCTGGAGGACACGCAGCGGCGGCAGATGGCGTCGCACAGATCGAACGTCGATACTGGCGGCTACTGATACTTGTCTTGATGTACATTACCTGTTGCGTATTGTTTTCGATCGGCTGGGGCAGGCGCGTGTCGCGGGCCCGGCTTCACTTGACGCGTGTTGTTGTGTGACTCGGAAACTGCATTTACCACCGTCTCTACGCTGTGTACGACGACCGCGACGCGCCCTGGAATGTGGATTCGGCCGCCCGCAGCGTATTTGGGGACACAGGGGCAATAATGAATGCGTCTGGCGGCTGTCAGTCGGCGCCTGACATGGACCCACGAAACGAAACGCGTCGCGTCAGTCACGTTGACGACCACCACCCAGCATTGTCCCTTCTGCTCGCTCTGCCACTCGCCGCCGAATATCTTTGTTTCTGTCTGCTCTGCTTGCTTACGTTCACGACTACGATACATCTACCAGTCAGTCGCAACGCTTTCCACGTCGTTTGACGCGTCGAGCAGCTCAACGTCGCGTCTGCGCAGCATAATATCCAGAACCCACGCCGCTCGTGTACAACACTCCCTCAGCCCTAGATGTCAGCGCCGCCCCGGAGACCAGACGTCAAGAAGAAGTTGGTCGTGGTTGGAGACGGTACGCTGGACCATGCAGCACGATGCGATCGAGATCGTGCTTGATGTACCCCTAACACACAGGAGGATGCGGCAAGACGTGTCTGCTCATTGTCTACGCGGAGAACCGCTTTCCCGAGGTGCGGCTCCTCTTGTCTAAGTCTGCTCGCGTGCTGAGTGTGATTAGGCTTACATCCCCACCGTGTTTGAGAACTATGTGACGCAGGTGCCGTACGAGGGCAAGCTCGTCGAGCTTGCGTTGTGGGATACGGCGGGCCAGGAAGAATATGATCGATTGCGACCACTTAGCTACCCCGAAAGCGACGTGATCCTGATCGTTTTCTCAATAGACTTCCCCGTCAGCCTTGCAAACGTGCAGGACAAGGTGAGTGTGCCACCCAGTCTCGGCATGCCACTCAATTCATTATCACGCGCTGGTACCTACATAGTGGTATCCTGAAGTTGCACACTTTTGCGAGGGCACACCGCTCATCCTCGTCGGCACGAAAATCGACCTGCGACGCGACGATCAGACGCGGCGGATGCTGAGCGCGCAGGGCCAGACGCCGGTCACGTCCGAGCAGGGGATGGCCGTGGCGAAGGAGATCGGCGCAAAGTACCTCGAGTGCTCCGCAAAGACGGGCGTCGGCGTCCAGGAAGTGTTCAACGCCGCGCTGAAGGAGAGCATGCGCGGGAAGTGGGTCAAGCGCGTGCGGAATCAGCGGTGCGTGGTGCTATGATGGGCGCGGTGCTTAGGTTTGGCTTGGTATAATATACGGTCTGCTCTCGTCTCTCGCATCGTCTTTGGTATATAGCCGTAATATCTCCCCTTTTCTGCGTCACCTTCTACAGTCACTATCGCCGGCACGCAGCAACACATCAAGCATCCGACATGTCAACTCAACTCTTGTATCGTTCGGGTTTGGATTGGGACGCCATGCGCCGCGCGGCGGTGACAAATGTGTACACCAGGAAGAGGAAGGCAGCGAGCACCGCGGCTGCTGTGCCGGTTTCGACGTACGGGAGGTGGTTCGGGTTCGCTACTGGGATGCGCAGGGTCTCTGCTCGGGGTGTGTTGGGCGCGTCGAGGGACGGGTGTATAGGGATTATGGACGCTGCAGTGTAAGAGTCTTTCATGGACGAGTCAGTGCTATCGTGTGTAACTGCGATTATCCGGCGAATAAGTACAGAAATTCCTCGGACGAAGGGGGTGACTGACTGTGGCAGCGCCAAAATACGTCTGGCCATGGGATAGGAATGTCATGGTAGCCAGATGGAGACGGGTTTCCGTATCGTGCGTGGAGGGGGACTTGGACTGAAAGTACCGAGCCTTCCGTGCGGGCTTTCTTGGTAGTCACGTCAAGCGAAAGCGTCTGGCCCTCTGGTGAGACTGCAGAGACCGGCAATTCAACATCTAGCAACCCTGTCAGATTGAAAGAATAAGAGTCTGCTTGCTGGTCCACCAGCTCATATGGATCGACGAAGACGTCGGGTGGAAAGACATGTGTGACGTGCAGTGTGCAGTGGGTGTCAAGCAGCGCGTCCCCCAGCCGGACATTGGTGGTATAAGTTGCGTGAAAGCTTTGCTTGGGTTCCAAAGACGAGATATACGAAGCTGCCATCGTTCCAGCGTAGTAAAGCACAATGTACTCAGTGGAATGCCTTTGGTTAACATGAGATCGAAAAAAGATCTCGTTGGCGGTAAGGCCCGACGCGATACTGTGGAAAGGCGCAATGCACTATCATACTGTCCCAGATTATATACTCAGCACACCGTATTAACGCAGACAGCGGATCGTAAGATACAATATACGGCATGGTCAATAAACATCACTATACCCCATACGCTGCAGCCATATTAGCGTCTCCGTTTATACATCCCTCCCTCTCGTCTAACACACCATTTAGCCGACCATATCAATACACACCAAGAACAAAAACTCACCCAGCTTCCTTCTCCACCTCTTTCATTTTCTCCCTCTGCAAATCCCGCGCCCGCTCATTGATGTCCGCAGCCTCTTGCGTGTCCGGGAAGCCGATGTCCCAGTACCCAGGCGGCGTGCGCGGCGCCGCCCAGTGGTGCCGGTGCTTTGAGATCTCGTTGCGGTGCCGACTGGTGCTGGGCGTCGCGGGGAGGGGCTGGTCGTTCCACAGAGGAGGGGCAGGGCGCGTGGGGAGGGGCCCAACGCCTTCGTAGTACTGCGGGATGGTTAGAGGTGGTTGGGAGGGGCAGGGAAAGCAGGAAGTGCACGCACGTCACGACAGCACTCGCAGTCCCCGCCCTTCAGGTGTCTTCGTTCTTCTTTGTTACGAACGACGGCGGAGAATTGATAGTTGACGCCTCCGTTTTGCTCGGTGTTGATCTCGAAGAGGGCGTTGATGGTCGTGTCGGCGTCGCTGTACCGGGTGTCAATGATACTCTTGCTGACGCACGAAGTGGTGCTTACGCTGGGGTAGACGGCTGCTCCTTGCCTTTCACCGTTGAGCCAGACCCCGCAAATCCGACGGATGACGAAGTCTTCTTAGGTTTTGTGGGTGTGTTCTCCTGCTCGCGGGTCGTGTCCGCCAGCGGTCGACGTTTCGTTGGAGTACTGTATACCGGCTGCTCATGCGTCGATGCTTTCCTGGGGCTGGGGGTCCTGCGACGAATGGCCTTGGCATCCTTGATAGGCGTCGAGCAGTCCACAGCCTCTATTTCGGAGATGCGCCGCTTCTTCCTATTGCTCTTGGCTACATCAGAGCGGAGGTATGCGTTCATGTCAAAGGAAGAGGTGGGTTCTGGAGCTGCGCAGACGGACATAAGTAAGACTGCACTAGCGGGCGAATGGCAGAGCGTACCTTGGGAGTCATCTTCCGTAGCGGACGAAGCATCGCTCAAGTCATCGAGGAGCTCCGTAACATCCTCCTCTGGCTTGGGAGGGTTGACCAAAGTCTTATCCGGCGTATCTGCACGCCGGTTATGCGACATCGCTTGGCGGATTGGGAGCATACTCACCTTCTGGGACGTCTGCGCCTTTCTTCGGAGACTTCACCCCATTCTTCACCTGCTCCTTGCGCCTCCCGCGCTCCTTCCTCACAAAATGCCTGGCCCGCTTATCATCTTCGAACAGCCACTGCTTGAAGTTCTTCCACTTCTGATAGTCGGACTTGTACCTCGCGGCAGCGCGTTCCTTCACGCTCAGGAGAGCATCGTATTTATCTTGCAGCTGCTTCAGCTGATTCTGAAGCGCGGAGATCTGGGATGACGACGAGGCCTCTGGCTCGGATTCCGTCTCTTTCTCAGACGACTTATGAGCCCCAGGACAAATGGGGCATCGACACGCGCGGGTATCTAGCTCTCCTGCAGCAATAAGAGCTTGAACTTCGGCATAGTTATTGAAACCGAATGCAATTGCTAGTCCGTTTATCCGTTGATGCGCGCCGAAGAGGTCTTTCCGCAATTGATCGTTGGCCCAGGACAGACGATCAGTCTAATCAGAGGTCAGCTAACGAAACTTTTCCAAGTCTTAAAGACATACCTTCTCTTTGTACAATTTCAGGTCGGTCTGCAATTGCTTGTATCGGTCCATGTGTGGCAACGCGGAAGCAAGCAGCGGCCATGCGATCGAAGGAATACACGACGCGTTACGTAAGGAGATCATGTGATCGAATTTTTGCCCTTGCCGGCTTGCAGAATATTGCATTATATTTTGCATTTTGCACTTTGCAGTCTGCTCAAGTCTTTGGTCGCTGTCTGCGTCGAATTCCGCTTGCTACGACGCCAACATGCCGCGCGGTATTCTTCTCACCTCGAATTTGCCCCAGTTGCAAAACCTGATCAAACGGGACCCGGTCGGATATCAGGAAGAGTTCCTGCAGCAATGGAATCACTACAACAGCATCCGCCAGATATTCCAGACGAGCCCCGACGAGCAGGCGAAGCACTTTCGCGAACTTATCTCGTTTATTGCTCAGGTAGCGCCGTGCTACCCCAAGGAAACCGCCGACTTTCCCTCACATCTCTCGTCTCTTCTTCTCGACAGCCATGCCATCCTTTCGCCGGACTTGCGCAAGAATCTGGTGCAGAATCTGGTTATGTTAAGGAATAAGAATGTTATTACCTCCATCGAGTACGTGTTATAACTGTTACGGTGATATTGCCTCGCTGAAATGGCTTCGATAGATTGCTGCGTACACTTTTCCCCTTGCTGCCTCGCACCACCTCGTCGACCCTACGAGCCTCGATTCGTAACACCATATTATCTGATATCCGAAATGCCAACACTCCCTCAAAAAATCATAAACTCAATCGGGCGGTGCAAGCGATGCTCTTTGGTATGGTGGAGAAAGGCATGGAAGCCGAGGTCGTAGGTGATAAGGGAAAGGCCAAAGCAGTAAAGCCCTCCAGTGATGGCTTGGGAAATAACGGGGATGAAGCAATGTGGGCTGTGGTCCTGACGACGGAACTGTGGAAGAAGGGGATCTGGTATGGACGAATTTTTTCCTGTGCCTGTGAGTTGGGTTGCTGACCCTGCAGCAGGAACGACTCCAATTGCGTGTCGATCATAGCATTGGGCTGCTTCCACCCTGTCGTCAAGGTCCAAAGCGCGTCCATCCATTTCTTCCTGGGCAGCGAGGACGAACTGTATGAAGACGAGGACGAGGATGCTGTGCGCGACGTTCTCGAATGTATGCGCTCGTTTTACTGAGGACATCGTCAGATCCCCGACCCAAAGTCCTTGCAACACCGACGAGAGATCAACAAGAAGACTCGTAGCGGCGAGAAGAAGCTTCGAAAGACGCTAAAGCAAATAAAGAAGGTATAACTATGCTCTCATGCACAGACCACCTCCAGTCTGACCGTTCATTAGAAAAAACATCACAAGGCCGCAGAGAATAAAACCAACTTTCCGGCTTTGCAAGTTCTCAACGATCCGCAGACCTTCGCCGAAAAGCTCCATGATTCGCTAGCCCGTCACGACAAGCGCTTCTCCCTGCCCCACAAAATTCTAATCATGCAACTCCTTTCCCGCGTTATGGGCGCGCACAAGCTCTGTGTGCTGTCCTTCTACACGTACATCGTCAAGTACCTCACGCACCACCAGCTGCAGATCACCGCCATCCTCGTCGCACTTGCGCAGTCCGTGCACGACCTCACCCCGCCGGACTGCCTCACGCCGGTTGTAAGGAAGCTCGCGCAGGAATTTGTACACCCTGGTGTGGGAAGCGAGGTAATCGCCGCCGGCTTGAATTCGATTAGGGAGGTATGTAGGAGGCAGCCGTGGGCAATGGAGGAGGATCTCCTCGGAGACTTGGTGGAGTATAGGAAGAGTCGGGATAAGGGCGTTATCGCTGCTGCGAGGGGCCTTTTGCAGCTTTATCGGGAGGTCAATCCAGGGATGCTGAAGAGGAGAGAACGGGTGCGGGTCTTCTTCTGTGCTCCACTGCGCACCTTGATTTAACACACAACAGGGTAAAGAAGGCTCGAAGGCCATAGGTTCCGGCGCGCAGCCGTTGCCCTACGGTCACAGTTCGAAGCCTGCCGAGGACATCGAGGATCTTGTGGTACGTACATTTCTGACCTATAATAATTAGCGCTCCTCAAACCTGCCGCAGCTTCTCGAAGACCACTTGCGCGCCTTACGCCGCGAAGAGGGCGTCGAATCAGGCGACGAAGGGGAAGAGGTTGACGAGGATGACTGGAAGGGCTGGGATGTCGAGGAAGATTCCTCGGAGGATAGCTCGGATGGTGAGGGGTGGATAGACGTGGACTCTGACGGGGACGAGAATATAGAGGTCAGTGATAGCGAGGACGAGCAGGAAAAGAAGGCTGCGAAGGAGGACGCGAAGCCATCGCAAGGTGACGCTCCAACGCCTGCTCCTGAAGCTGGACCAAGTCGCGTGTCCAGCTTGGCCACCACTAAGGTAAGGGTCTGATCTCCCATTCGCCTTATCTCATACTCAGACCTGTACCAGATTCTTACTCCGGCCGACTTCGCGTTACTCAATGACCTGCGACGACAAGCGGCTGCATCAGCAGTCGAATCTGGCTCGGGAGGCAAAGCCGCCAAGCGCAAGCTCGCCGCGCTCGAGAAGACCAAGTCCACCGCAGCACAGACCGGCAACCTTGACTCGACAGCGTTCATCTCCGAGCTGGACATCATCGGCCCGCGCAAGAAGAGCAAGGCGGATTATGCAGAGCGCATCGCGAGCATCGAGAAGGGCCGTGAGGGCCGCGAGAAATACGGGAGCTTGAAGGGGAAGAGGAAGAAAGAAGTGGGGAGTAGCAGTACTAATCGGGAGAAGGCCAGAAATAAGCCGATTATGATGATATTGGGGAGTGGGAAGGTGAGGGGGAAGAAGAAGGCGAGTTTGAGGGAGAAGCAGCAAAAGCTGAGGAAGCATATTGACAAGGGGAAAAAGGCATACCACTGAGGAATTATACGCGGTGTGCTGCTATCTTTGTACATGTATTGACACACTCATTCTGGTGGAATTATACGTACTGTTAGAGGGCATTACAACAGGTCCTTGCTGGCACGGATGGCCATATCATATCCGAGTGCAAGATGCGAAAGTCTCGCATCGACTACGAAACCCTGCAATATCGTCAATTTCATCAGCACCTGAAAGGTCAAGTACAAAGACCAGGGTTGAACTCACCTTGCCCTCGTAGCCTGGTGCGGTACGTGAAATGTTAGCATTGTGAGATACACTAAATTATGTATTTCCCCCACCTTTGAGCTCTTCATGAAGCTTGGCCAACTCGACAACCCTCTTGACAATAAACTCGCCTTCGTCAAGCTTCTGGTCGGGGGTCTCCAACTTGTCCTCGAGAGTTACACGAACTACTACGAGCTTCATATTTGCTGTGGTCATACCTACAGGACCCAACGGTGTCAGTGGTTCCACGGCGGCTGCTGGAGTGGTTCAGCTCGCCTGGATCGCAAACCTGCAGAGGAGAGGACTCGACAATGGTATCCCCCTTGTATCCGGTCTCTTCCTCGAGCTCACGTATGGCAGCCTGCTCTGGAGTCTCATCCTCGTCAATCAGACCTATATGGGAGTCAGTGGATAGCTAGTATGCGGAAGCTTCGCCTGCCCATACCTGCGGGAAGTTCTGCACTAGTCGGTTAGAGACATGAGTGGTCCCGTAAAAGCCTTCAAGGAAGTGGGGAAAAACGTACCGACTACGTAGCTATTAACCGGGGGACGGAATTGCTCGATGATAACTGTAGATGGCGGGAATGCGTTCGTCTTCGATTTGATAATGGACAAGATCGCGACCGCTGGACGAGATATCTGGCTTAGCCCTGCGGATTCGGACAATAGGTTGAGACGAACCGTCTATCCCAGAGGATCCTCGGGTCTTCCGTTCAGCACATTCCCAGGTCCGCTACATGGTGATGAGTATTCATCGAACACATTCTGTAGCCTCAGTGTATGCGTACATCTTTGCCAGTCTGGTCCTTCCAGTTGATTCGCTTCAAGGTTATCCATCTACCCAAGGCATGTTAGACTGAACCGGCGCATCGACGACAACGCTAACTTGGCTTCCGATGCTGAGAGCTCTTCGGTCGACACAACGCTGGCAGAAGGCATCTTGGGTCGCAAAAAGTGTCTAAGATTGCAAGGTGCTTTGGACTTAGGACGGAAGAGTCTGGAGGGCCGAAAGCCTGCACTGGTGGCAAACATAGAGTTCTAAGTTGATGACGTCACGCGTCGTATATCGAGAGGTATATTTCCTTCCGACGCGTACAAACTTCAAAAGATCACGTATTATACCAGAGCGTGAATTCGACAACATGCAAGGACGAGGAACGACGAAGACAGCGAGACACGGCGCATACAATGAGTCGCAGTTCGTAAACACATAAAATTACCATCCGGACATGAGAAGCCATGACTCGAGGATTACAAGGGAGAGACTACGCAGGCGGGGATCAGTGGGAGCTGGAAGATAAAGACCATCATAACGCACCATACACGGGATGGGCGCATGCAATCGAGCATGTGCATATGGCCGCTGTGTCGCGGTTTGGGTATTTACAAGCAGGCGTCCAGGCCAGATAGACTGCTAGTTTAGTAGCGCAACAATGGGGTTCTGTATGGCCTCATCAGTGACTAGCGTACACAAGAATTCGATGTCAAACGTACAATCATGAAGCAGGCACTGCTTCGGTAGCCGTTGTGGCTGGAGTCTCTGCAGCGGGAGTCGAGGGGCTCTCACTAGCAGCCTCTTTCTGAGACGCGCTGCCTCTCCCTCGTCCCCTTCCGCCGTCGCCGCGACCTCTGCCACGACCAACACCCCTTCCTCTACCAGGGGAGGTGGGAGACTGTGGCTCTCCCTCAGTTTTGGCTCCGCCGTTGGATGCCTGTTTGCCAGAGGGAGGAACCTTCTTCCCGGAGTCCCACTCCCGAGTCTGGAGCTTGTCCATCTTACGTTGCGCGTTCTGTTCACGCGCGCGATCGACATGCTCTTGGACCTTCTTCGTTCTGGCAAGCCTGGCGCGTTCCGCTTCTTGTGTCTTCTTGAACGCGTCCTCATCTGCTTTTACGTCCTAGGCGGAGCGTCCAATGAAGTCCTGCCGATAAAACGAAGTAACTTACCGCTCGACGCTGCTTGATCTTCTCGTTCTGTTCCCTGATGCGTACCATGCGTTGAGCAAGCTCATCTTCACTCAGCTTGTCCTTTATGATGCCTCGTCAAGGTTCAGTCAGAAGGCTATTAGATCATCACTTGCCCTCTGCGCTCCGCCAGTCTTGACGCGATCTGGGTTTACATAGGGCGTCTTCTTCTCTTTCTTCTCCTTACCCTCAGCTTCCGCCTTGTCCTCAGCTTGCTCCTCGGCGGGCTCCTCGCCTGCAGCTTGTTCTACTGGTTTCTCCGGGGTTGTTTCCATAGACGGCTTCGATGCCCCAGCCTGTGGTTTAGCATTGCCCTGCTCGGCAGGCTTGCCCTCCGCTGTCTCATCTATGCGTAGATTCTCTAGGCCCAGTGAATTGGACATGGTCGACGACGGCGAAGATGAAGAGCGAGAGCGGGATGGACTCCGGGGCTGGGACTGGCCAGCCGTGCGAAGAGCCGAGAACCTGATTTAGAAATAGATTACAGCCTATTTATTGCATCTCTGCTGCAGTCCGTTAACTATCGCCCATACATCGATTCCACTTCAACGCCGTCCGCAATGTCGCTCTCGAAAAAACTCAGCATTACTGACCTCGACCTCAATGGCAAGCGCGTTCTCATTCGCGTCGACTTCAACGTCCCCATGCAGGACGGCAAGATCACGAACCCGGCGGTGAGCGCTGATCTGCTCAGGGTTGGACGTGAGCGTACTGATTCATCGGGATCGTGGAAAGCGTATCGTCGCTGCTTTGCCCACCATTAAATATGCCCTCGAACATGGTATGATACAAGTCTGATGAAATGCGGAATACCGAGGCTGATGTCCAAACATAGGCGCAAAGACAGTGACCCTCATGTCCCACCTCGGCCGACCCGACGGCAAGGTCGTCGCCAAATACTCCCTGGAACCCGTGTCCAAAGAGCTTGAGAAGCTGCTCCACAAGCCCATCACCTTCGTTAAGGACTGCGTCGGTCCCGAAGTCGAGCAAGCCGTCAACTCCGCTTCCCCCGGATCTGTCATCCTGCTCGAGAATCTGCGGTTCCACATCGAGGAGGAGGGCTCGGTCAAGAACAAGGACGGCACCAAGACCAAGGCCGACCCGACCAAGGTCAACGAGTTCCGCGAGGGCCTGACCAAGCTCGGGGACGTGTACATCAACGATGCCTTCGGTACCGCGCACCGCGCCCACTCGAGTATGGTGGGGGTGAAGCTCCCGCAGCGCGCCGCTGGCTTCTTAATGAAGAAGGAGCTCGAGTACTTTGCGAAGGCCCTTGAGCACCCCGAACGGCCGTTCCTGGCTATCCTCGGTGGCGCCAAGGTATCGGATAAGATTCAGCTCATTGATAACATGCTGGATAAGGTACATCCTAGTCCTTAACACCTTTCGCGCTGATTCTAAATGCAACAATTATTTCAGGTCGACTCGCTCATCATATGTGGCGGAATGGCCTTCACCTTCAAGAAGACGCTCAACAACGTCTCGGTAAGAACCTAGTTTGTCATGCCTTGGTGCTAAGATCGAATCTCTATTCGGTCGTAGATCGGTAACTCCCTCTTTGACGAGCCAGGCTCCCATAAGGTCGGTGAGCTTGTGAAAAAGGCCCAGGAGAGAAAGATCAAGATCGTGTTCCCCATCGACTACGTTACCGCCGACAAGTTCGATAAGGACGCGAGGGTAGGTTTTCCTATTCGCTCCATGGTTTCTGCATTATCAACCCGAAGCCTCTAAACAGACTGGTGTTGCCACGGATGAGGAAGGTATCCCGGACGGATGGATGGGCCTCGACGCCGGACCCAAGAGTCGTGCTCTGTACAAGGAGACCGTCCTGCAGGCAAAGACGATTCTCTGGAATGGGTAAGTATCATTCGATGACTGTCATCGCTCATATAGCATCTGACGGCTTGATTATCATGAAGTCCTCCGGGTGTCTTCGAATTCCCGGCGTTTGCTGAGGGCTCAAAGGCACTCCTGGATGCGACCATCGAGGCTGCCCAGAAGGGCTCCACTGTCATCGTGGGTGGTGGTGACACTGCCACTGTCGTTGCACAGTACGGTGCCGAGGACAAGCTGAGCCACGTTAGCACGGGTGGTGGTGCCAGTCTCGAGCTACTCGAGGGAAAGGTTAGTGTTCTCCGCCAGCCTTGTGTGCAAAATGAACCGCTCATTCTTTGCTTTAGAGCCTGCCTGGCGTCGCGGAGCTCAGCGAAAAATGACTGCAGAGGCCAGCGGCCTTGTAGAAGTCCTGGGGGATGTTTTGTATGCTATAGAAGAAGTACCAAGGAAGTTATCATTATAGAGTAACGAAAAGAAACTGTACAACAAATATCAATATTGTACCTTTGGTTCCTTTGCTCTGTTGCTGCTTCAGGTTGGAATAGACGTAGGGGCTCTCAACACTCCTGCGTCGGTGTCCGACTCCAAAGGACTGCTGGCGGGACCTGGGTATATGTGAGGAAAATTCCGAAGAGACTCAGAGGGAAAGGCGATCACGGTACCTCCACGTGACCTTACGCGAACTGAGAGGCGTACGCGACCAAATGCTTCCGCTTCCTGCCACCGTCGCGATTGATCCGTATCCTCCTCGCTGTCGTCGACGATGTCGACCCCTAAAAACAATCTGGAGGAATACAGGCGACGCGCCCAAGCCAATGCTTCTGTCGTCGTCACCGTGCAGACCGCTGCGTCGAAAGTCTGCACTTATTCGAGCACGTATGCTGTAATCCTTTATTGACCGGTGCTCTGCAGACCTCGAAGTTCAAACCTGCTAAATCTATTGAGTCTGGGTCTTTGTCGAATGTATCAGGTATGTGGTCAAACTTCGTCTGCTCAATGCCAGAGCCTCACGTTTGCTTAGCACGTCGGCCGGTGTCAGGCTTACCTTCATTCTCTACGCCTAACTTCGGCAAATCTACATCTGCCCTCTCCGGTCTAACTACGCCTCTCTCACTAGGGCGCGATATCATTGACGTTTCGTCCGACGAGTCCATGTCTATTGAATCCGGCGGCAGCGGCCCCTTGAAGCGTTCTTCGTCCGACAATTCTTTCTACGACCCGTCCTCCTCGACATCTAAGCGCGTTCGGAAAGATGTTTCTTATTCTCTAGCTGCTGAGGACAGTAACAAGGAGAATGTGCGAGGGGACACGCCCAACGTTGTCTCGCAGGAGCAACGGCAACATCGACTTCAGGGCTATGGCGCTCAATCAAGTCCTGGAAAACGGAAGCAACAGAGCGCAAGGGGGGCCCTGGTGAAGGCTTACCATCTACCGCGAGCTCCTGGTGCTTCGACTGCAAGCTCTACCAAGCCTTCTCAGAGTCCCGTGATAGATGAAGACTTGTCCTCAGTGGGTGATGGTTATAAACGCCGTACTCTTTTAATCTAACGCATTGTATCAGAAATCAGAGGAGGAATTGAGAAGACTACTTATGTACAATCAGGCGAAAGCTTTCGAGGTTGGCCAGGACATCACGAAGGTCGAGACGGGCCAAGAGAAATTCTTCGATATCTATACCCTGAAGGCCCACAAGTACGTAAACTGAGGTACAATCGTGCCTATTGATACTAACTTTCCTACCGTCATAGGCGGATCCTCGAGGATAGATTAGTGTCCATACAAGTCGCTATAGACAGGCTTAAGACAGCGACAACCCCATCCTTCATGCACCCACTCTCCTCAGAGATTTCTTCCGCATTTACTGCACCAGGCGTACCATCGTCGTCCTTCTCATTCAGCGACTCCGCAACGTCATCCGGGGATGAGCCTCAGCGATTCGCGCAATTGTCAAAACCTGGAGCATCCATATCTCGCGCTGCTGTCTCGTCTACATATCAGCTGACCGACAAGACGACAGCTATGATACAGGAGGCTTTAAGTGTTGAAGAAGAAGAAGACGTCGCAAAAATGTGGAATGCCTTTGGCGACTTTCCGGTGCACGTTGTCAGTGATGATAACCGAGCTCGAGCGGCTTCTACTTCCGCAGTCCCTGCACCTGCCACTGTCTCGAGAGCATCGGATCGGTCGGTCTCTGACTCTGCAATTGTCCCTCTTTACGACCGAGAGCCTATCACGGATTCGCCGTACACGAAAGAAATCATGGCGAAGCTTTCGTCCGTTTTCGGTATGAAGACCTTCCGGCAGAATCAGCAGAAGGCTATCATCACCACCATGGATGGTAGAGATGTTCTCGTGCTTATGCCAACCGGAGGCGGGAAGAGCCTGTGTTATCAACTCCCAGCTATATGTCAGACGGGCAAGACGCGGGGCGTGACTTTCGTGATATCTCCTCTCCTTGCCCTGATGAGCGACCAAGTCCAGTCTTTGATGCAGAAGGGCATTGATGTGGTTTGCTTCAGTTCCGACCAGTCGGACGAGACAAATACCGAGGCGTGGAGAAAGCTGACAGGGAAAAGAAAGCCAGCTCTGGCCTATGTCACGCCCGAGAAGCTGGAGAGTAGCGACAAGATGCGGGACACCATGCGCAGGTTGTATGACAACAAGGAACTTGCACGGTTCGTTATCGACGAAGCTCACGTCATCTCATCCTGGGGCAGGAATTTCAGGACGGCTGTAGGTGCATGCTCTTCACCGGGTTTCGCAGGCTCTGACTTTCGACACGATTAGTACAAGCACCTGGACCGTCTGCGGCGTGATTATCCTGACGTGCCGATTATGGCTTTGACTGCGACCGCCAACAAGAAGACACGTAAAGACATAATCGATAGACTAGGCATCGGAAACTGCGAGGTCCTCCTTCAATCCTTCAATCGACCGAATCTCCATTATACTGTGCGGCACAAGCGGAAGGGGAAACTTGGTATTGAAGATATGGCGACTTTCATCAAGTCTGAGCACCCGAATGAGACCGGCATCATATATTCCAACAGCCGCGACAAGTGTGAAGAGGTTGCCAAGGAGTTGAGGGAGAAGTATGGTTTAAGGGCGAAGCATTTCCACGCGAAAATGCATAATGAGGATAAAAGACGGGTCCAGAAGGGCTGGCAAGATGGCGAGTTCGAAATTATCGTCGCCACGGTACGTGCTGTTGCAGAGACATAGGCATCACGTCTGAGATCCTTCGCTAGATTGCCTTTGGCATGGGTATTGATAAACGTGACGGTACGTTAATGGTAATGCTCTGTATTCCGACATGCTACAGCATGCTTCTGCAGTGCGATTTGTCATTCATTATTCACTCTCCAAGTCCCTGGATGCGTGAGTTCTACAGGGCTGAGTATGCGGCTACCTATTGACAATTTCTCAGCTATGCGCAGGAAACCGGGAGAGCAGGTCGAGATGGACAACCGTCGGACTGCGTTCTCTGTGCGTCCCATGCCGCTAATTTCCCGACTTGGGGCAGTCTCATCCTTCATCCTGCAGATTATGGTAGTTCAGACGTGAACACCCTGATAAACCAGATACGCGGCGACGAAGATCTATCACAGGAAGATAAGCGGCTCCAAATAAATGAAGTGTGGCAAATGGCATATTACTGCTTGAACGATGTGGATTGTCGTCGAGCGCAATTACTGGCGTTCTTCGATCAACCTTTTGACCCTAAAGACTGTGACGCCTCTTGTAACAACTGCGTCGAACCCAAGGAGTTGAAGCAGGAGGACGTCACTCGTCAGGCTACGAATGCAGTCAAATTGCTGCAATCGATGCTCGAGCGAGAGGCGCATATAACTCAAGCATTGTGCGTGAACACCCTCCGGGGTAGCAAGTCGGCGGAAGTCACGAAAAAGGACTTTGACAAGTTACCTCTACACGGCTCCGCGGCTGACATGCCTATGAATCAAGTTCAACGGCTATTCACCCTCCTTTACTGCTTGAGCGCCTTCGATATCCATACCGTATCGAATGGTAATTGGAATTATGAATATATGAAGGTACCCGTGAAATCCCTTCTGTACTGCCATTGCTGACTGCTACTTCACAGCTGGGTCCCAGAGCAGATGCCTTTATTCGGGGCAAACAAAAGGTCACAATGTCAGTGGCAGTCCGTTCAAATTCGTCGACGGCAGGAGGAAAACCGCCGCGAAAGAAACCCTCCCAAAAGTCTCGTTCTGCGTCTGCCGAAGAGCATGGCACCGAATTGACCTCCCATGACGACGACCCCATCGTAGAGGACGACTACAGTGTCGATGCTACTGATCTCACCATGATCGATGATGAGGTAGTTGAAGTTACACCTGCCCACGCAACCAGAGAGGCGCCCAAGCCCAGCAAATCAACTACCTGCGACCCTAACGAACGTTGTATCAAGGAGCTTCGTGATATTCGGAAAATGGTCAGGTTTTATAGCCCTAGTACAGGGTGTTCGTACTGACTACAAGCAGCTCGTCGAGAAGGAGAGTCTACAGTCCGAAGAAGAGGTATTAAGCGATGAATGTTTAGAGATGCTCTGCTTAACATCAATCAAGGGTACGACCAAATGGTATCTTTTCCAATCAGATTCCCACTTACATTGTATAGACTTTGGCGATTTTCGGCGAGTGTTATCGGAGACGTACGAGCCTGGGCTTGCAGAGATAAAGCGTCGCCGGTACGAGGAGCATTTCCTTAATATCTGCATAAATAAGACTATAGCGGAGGAGAACTCCTCTCGGTGAGAAGAGCTTGTATAACTCTTACTTGGGCACATCGTCTTATGCCGGTTCCAGTGCGAAAGGGGGTGCAAAGCTTATCCCTTTCGACGCGAACGATATGCAAACGCGGTATGCGTATGCCTCCAAACCACCTTCGACACGCAGTAGGCCAACATGAACTCTTTGCGTTAAGACTCCTTGTAGATAGAAAAGCCATTAACATTATATCCACATCTATCTTTATGCGCAGATGTATGATCAGGTACAGGATAAATAATGTATCATATGTATACGATGCTTATGCAGCAGCAGTAATCAAGGCAGGAGCCGCCTGGGCTTGTGGGATTTCGGTTTCTTCCGAAGCCGAGATGATATCATGAGAACCATCAAGGAAAATCCTGTTGCCCCTGTCCAGTCCAAACGCGAAGTTCGCGTTCAACTGAGTGTCCATCTCCCAATTCTCGCCCCCGAAGGTGTTGATATACTTGGTGTCATCCCACGTGCTGCACGCCCCAGCGGCATAGATCATGGGAAGGAAATGCTCCGGAGTCCTGTGAAGTTCTTTTAGATGGATCTATGGGAGAACGAAAGACACGTTGCTTACGGGTTACTCTTGAGGAAGTGAGGATGCTGCAGCAGTCTGGCCAAAGCATTGCCCAGCTGCGGGCCGGAGTTGCGATTCACGGACTCCCTCATGGAGGCAGCAAAGGCAGCCAGCTCGGGGTCGATTGGCTTTGTGCGCGTAGCCGTGTCCTGGTAGAAGATAATCCTGTGCCACGAAACGGTGTACAGGTTGTGGATGCCTCCACCACTGCCGATCAAAAGAATCTTGTCCGCCCTAAGAGAGCGGAGAGTAAGACCAACTTTGAGGTGGAACCACGGGTCGAATCTGCCATTGACAGACATGACCGCCATTGGGGGGCACTCGTGGTAGTCAGGGTACATCCTATGGAATAAGTTCAGGACTCGGAAAAACAGCACTATAAGACATACCATCGCATAGGAATCATGACGTCTTGATGCCAGATAGCCTTCGAGATTGGTTAGTCCCGTCGCCCAATTTCTGGAACGGTGAAGCCTTACCGTGGGGTTAAGAGAAACATTGAACCCGGCATCCTTCAGCTTGTCGTGCACTCTTTCAGCCAGTTTAGTGTCAGCATTGATCTGGTAGTCGCTGTACCACTCTGTTCGTTTCAATTAGCGCGATTCACTGCCTTATGCTGGGGATCAACTTACGAAGCACTTCAGGTGGCACGAAAGCGACAAAGTCTTTGTTAGGCCTGGGGTTATACGCGACTGTTCCATGTCAGCGTCGATCCCTGATAATTGCGATGCATTCACCTTCTATAGTGTCGAGCGGTGTCTCCCAGTGTGCAGCTGCAGGCGATACATTGTTAGAACTGAGATATCAATGTGTCGTCGAGCTAATGAACACATACCCATCCAAACAATACCATTGATACCCTCTTTCCTCGCGTACTCGCCAATCTTCTTGTAAAATTCGGTGGTTGGACATGGGTCCACAAGCATCCTAGGGGAGCCATGGGAGACGAAGAACGTCGCGAGTTCCTTGGGCATACTGCCTGAAGCTTCGAAACGAATAGAACAAGTGTTGTGTACCAGTCATAGCGAACCTCAACAGAGTTAAATACTACTTGCACGGGTGGGTAAGCCGAGTGAAGCCCTGTACGGATAAGTTGTGGGGCAGTTTGGCTAACGCCCACCTTAACCCTACGAAGGCACTTCCCCTGCTAGTGTTGCCGCCAATCCGGGTTGGTCCGGGTTGGTCCGCTCAGTCCGACCTGACGCAAGTGCCCGGGACCGACCCGATCCTCAGTCCGGTCTCCAAATGCAGCAGTCCAGGTCGGTCCCAGTCCAGTCCGGACTACAGTCTGGCCCTAGGGAGCCCCAAATGGGAATCAGCTCTGATGACTACTGATGAACTACAAGAAAACTGTAGTGACTACGTAAGTAAGCACTTCTAAGAGCCCATCACTACTGCACGTAATGGTCGAACTGGGAGATCTGGGTCTGCAGTCCGGACTGACCCACTTCGGGACCGGACTGTCTAATCAGACCGCAGAAGCGGTCCTGTCCGGTCACAAAAACAGCAGTCCGGTCTGGATGCGGTCTCAACCCGGACCAGCGGCAACTCCTGCAGTTGCCCTATATGGTAGTCGCATCTTGGTGTGGGTCGATCCGAGTCATCCGACTTGCTCGGGTGTAACTCGCGTGTAAGTAAGTCTCTTACTATGTAACGGCCCACGCACCGGCCCACGGTGGAGGCTAGCATGCTGAAGGGCGCAACTGACAATGGGGAGGCGCAACGCCACCGGATCGAGCGCGTTGCTTAATAAGCAAATTGTGGCTGAAGCGTGGTACAAGCCATTGACGGTGTGATTTCGCGATGGCATGGGTTATGGGACTGTTGCATATAAGCCTAGTAGTTGAATCAAGTATAATTAAGGGATATATGACTCTGGATACTTGCTCTGTCAACGCTCTTGCCCTATAAGATGCACCGGTCGAGTGTGACAATTTTGGGCTTGTGTCACACGATGGTCACATCACGTCTCCCCGCATGCAGCACGAATTTCTGTCGCAAAGTTATGGCTCAGCGCTTGACTTTCAGGCTTAGGTCAATTAGTAGCATCTGCAAGAAATGTACTTGTGCATGTTGACTCGTCCGTGCTTTTTTACTTCCTCCCATATTGAGTAAGATACAATCGGGATTCCACTCATTGAACATGAATTCCAGAAACTATGGACTAGACCACATGCCCACCGTCTTTCCTGAGCATTCTATGTAAAAATCATGTTCATAATCAGAGCATAGCTCTCAAAACTTTGCTCCAACTTTTCATCCCAATGTCTACCTCGGAGCAAACAAGGACAAACAACTCGCCGCGACATCCAGAATTGCGCCTCCCCACTGACAATGAAACGTACGACTATTGCTGCTCAGTATCCTACAAATGACTAACCTACGACCTGGACTTTTCTTGGAATTTATGCCCGTGGGCAAGCAGCCTAAGTGGATCTTTTAGCATTAGGGGTTCGGACCGACGGACGCAGTGTTCTCACCAATCTGGGTCGATCTCGGTCAGGATACGTATGCTGCGCAGGTGCTACGTGAGAACCGGGCGCCGTCCACCACAAGCATAAGGCTCACTGGATCTTTTTGGTCTCTTCCATTTCGTGGAAGACAACCCATCCTGATTTCGGCTTTCTCGTAAACAAAACGGAATCAGGATGTACGTGAAGAGGCTGAGGAAATCCAGTTGAGTGCGACTCAGAGAACGCTCAAGAAGATCCGTACGCACTATGTTGCCTCGGATTGAGCGGTACGTGCCATCGGCTACCCACCGTGCCCCGTTGCGCCAGTATCCGCTGACTAAACATTGGCGCAGTCGTTTCGCGTCACCTTCGCAGCTCTTCAATGGCAACCCGAAACGCTGCATGTACTTTTTAAGCTGCGACCTGATAGAGACAGCTCTGGACATGGCACGGAAGGACAACGCGTGGTTCTTGCACCACGACGAAGACTTGCCGTACTTGACGAAGGCGTTATATGCTGGTCAAAAGCATACATTAGTTTTGGTGATACTCAAAAAGCATGAATCGCTGCGTACTATTCAACAGCGTTAGATGGTCCTGTATGATGTACTCAGCCAGCGTACTCTGAGTTGGACCCCTATGCTTACCCCCTCTTCAGCCGTGAATTTTCTTCGTTCTAGCTCAGCCAGTGCGCCATCTGCGCCATCTGGAATGACGAAGACATTCTTTGGATAATGATTATCAAAACCGCTAGCCAAGCCGACTGTCTAAAACGGACACACCTGGACCGCCGTCATCGCCGCAATCGTGAGTATCTCTTCCCCACACTGGAAGTCCTTCGAGCTGAACAGCTGGGTACAAATAGTCAGAATGATAACATATCGCAGCACGGGAATCGATTCTTCACCATTCGTGCAATATTGACTTCCACTGGACATTCTGCCACCTTCTGTCCCACCTCGGTAAGAGCCCCACCATGGTCTACCATACCGGCATTCACGAGGCCCTCCAGTGCCCGCAGGACACTTTCCGCCGGGGGCGGCGTTACCCACTCGAATTTCATCAGGTCATCAATGCCGAGGGACTTGAGTTGCAGGATGGGGGTAGTCAGGTCAGTACGGGTGACCTCCGGAGGGGTCGTTTTCGTGAATGTCTTGATGACGTGATGCGGGTACAGGCGGTAGCATATACCTGGTGACGTTCGTCCTGCTCGCCCGGCGCGTTGGACAGCGGAGGCTAGTGAGGTTGGGACGACGGCAAGGGAAGAGAGGGTGGTTGTGGGATTGTAGGTACGCAGCTAGGCTGTCTGATGAGACATTACTCATTGTCTGCGGAAGGTCGTCTGGGACTGACCTTGACAAAGCCACAATCTACCACGTATTTGATGCCTTCGATCGTGATACTGGCCTGTTGAGCGAATGAGGCACTACATGTGGCGGTCAAAACAATTATTGCGTACTTCTGCGATATTTGTGGCTACGATAACCTTGCGGTACCCACGCTCTGCAGGCTGGAATACTCTCATCTGCTCCTCGGTCGTGAGACCAGCGTGTAGAGCAAGGAGAGTGAGCCGGGATGCGTTTCCCTTTCGTCTATCATTCACCACGAGCGAGTCAGCCAGCCATATGTAGAACCTGAGACAACTAACGTTGGTAGATACTCCGCCAGCTCTTCGAGACACCGATCGATCTCCTCACGACCGGTCAAGAAGATCAAAATATCTCCCGGACCTTGCTAAACGCGGTTGAATACTGAGCAAACCTGATCACTAAATACCTCAACATACCCTTGAATTAATATCCCAAGCCACTTCCGCGGCCTTTTTTACATAATCGGGCGTAGGCTCCTGAAGGTAGGCAACTTCAACAGGGTACATCCGACCTTCCAAGCTGAGAATGATAGCTTCATCAGGCCCGTTGTCTGCCCGGAAGTATTCCAACAAAGAGGAAGCGTCCAGGGTGGCGGAGGATACAATGAGACGCAGCGACGGTCTCTTCCGTCGAATCCTGTATCAAATGAGTCAGCGTGAGATGAAGAGAGGTGCGAGGGATCAGCACTTTTTCAAGATGCCGAGCAGCAGATCAGTGTAGACGCTCCGCTCGTGCACCTCATCTATCTTGATGTAACTCAATTGTGGCCAAGCTGGAAGCGGATTCGAGTGAACGCACCATGATAACGCTGTAGGAGCTGAGCAGCGGATCTACCAAGGCTTCGCGGAAGAGCATCCCGTCGGTCAAGTAGCGTATGCGCGTACGCTCCTTGTTGCTTACGTCTTCGAACCGGATGGTATATCCCACCTGCCGCAAGGGATTGAGAATTGCGAGGAACTGGAGCAATGAAGAAGATTTGCACCTCATCACCTAACATAGAGCCGACCTCAGCGGCGACACGCATAGCTACGGATGTCGCAGCGACGCGTCGGGGTTGCGTGCAAGCGATGACGTTCCCATCTTGTGCCCATCCTGCCTCGTATAGGTACTGCGGTAACTCTGGAGTGGCGTTAGGACACACCGCACGAAGTAGTTGCACGCACTTACGTGTGGTCTTTCCGCAACCAGTTTGACCGACAACTATGACCACGCCATAGTTCTCAATGCAATGCAACAGCTTCTCCCCTGAAGCTCATTCTGAGCCAGAAGTTATGTATGGGTCGTTTGGACGCTTACTGTGCTTGAATATAGGTAGTCTTTCTCGCTGCGCCTGGACAGAGAGCAGAGAGGACGAAGGAGCGTAAGAAACGATGTTCTCTTCAGCTTCGGAAGCGCGGTCAAACGTGCTGCCAGGACCCACTGTCCCTGGCTTCCAGAAAGTCAGCGGCGCCATATGACTTGTTTCAAGGACGGTAAAGTGTGGCTGTGGCAAAGACGCGCTGCTGACTAATGGGCACAGCCACCAAAGAGGATCGGCTTGTTCCTTCCCCGCGCCGCTCGCCACAGCTTGTCCTCCATCCGCCACCACTGACCTGCCGTCATGTCGGAACGTAAAGGTACGCCCGTTTGGCGTCTTGCAAATAGGAGCTGCGTCTTACTCTGGCTGTAGTTCTCAACAAGTATATCCCGCCCGACTTCGACCCGTCTCTCATCCCGCGGCGCAAGCAGCCCAAGAATGCCCAGCAGGTTGTCCGTCTTATGGCCCCGTTCTCTATGTATGTCTACGTGTGTACATCTGCTATAGCTCTCTAACATTCCATTTTCAGGCGGTGTAATACATGCGGAGAGTACATCTACAAGGGCAAGAAGTTCAACGCTCGGAAGGAGACGGTAGAGGGGGAGGACTACTATGGCATCAAGATATTCCGCTTCTACATTAAATGGTGCGTAGCATAGGCTCTCTCGTAGGAGTGAAACTGACGCGACGCAGTACACTATGTTCCGCTGAGATCACCTTCAAGACGGACCCGAAGAACACCGACTACGCAGCTGAGCATGGCGCCTCGCGCAACTTCGAGCCATGGCGAGAAGAGCAGGCCGTGGAGGAAGAGGACCGTCTGGCGAAATTGGAAGAGGAGGAGAGCAACCCTATGAAGGCGCTTGAGAACCGCACGATTGACTCCAAACGCGAGATGGACATCCTCGATGCGCTGCAGGACATCAGGGCGAAGAACGCACGATTAGAGCGGGTCGGGCAGTCAGCCGATATCGCGGCGAAGCTGCACATGGAGGAAATTGAGACGGAGGAGGATCGGCAGAAAAAGCAGCTTGAAGAGGAGGACGAGGAACTGGTTCGCCGTGTGTTTGCTAAGATTCCTGCGGAGAAGCCTGAAGACCCAAGTGCCCCTGTCATAACGCTCAAGCGTAAGGCCGATGGTGATGAGCCGAGCGTTGATAGCCTTGTCGCCCCTTCGACTCTGGCTTTGGTCAAGGGTAAAGCACCCCTGATTGGTGTATCGAAAAAGAGGAAAGGGGATACAAAGAATTCCTTGGGTATAAAAGTGAAGCATAAGAAGGTTACAGCATAATATTGGTGTTTGAAGCTGTGTCTTATGTATAGTTACCATAAGTTATTTGCATTCCTGTTTATTATGTCTAGGAATGGCCATTTACTGCATTCAATATTCATGAAACTTGTGGCTGCTGTCCAATTGTGTTGAGGAATCATCTGTTCATAGCATTATTATTCCTTCTTTAGTAGGACAGGAATAAGACATTATGTATGGAAATCTATTATATGAGAATTACTGGACAAAGAAGAAGAGGAAGATATGCTATAGAATGGCTGAAAGAAATGGTCTCCCCAAGATCACCAAGTGTGACTGAGCAATCCAGTTGAAGCCTTTCCAGCTGATTGCAGAAGAATAGATGCACCTCATATATATATATTGAGAGGCACAATGGCACAGTGTTGTGCGGGTTCGCAACTAGTTGACATCGGTTGCCGAAACTGTCAACCCGGCAACTAGTTTGGACAACCTTTCGGCAACCGAACCTGGCAACTGTGGCGCAAGTAGAGCAGGACTGTTAGGATACCAAGTACGGCTCCCTATGCCCTCAGTACAATAGTATTTCATGTATTATACATCTAATATAGCATCATTAGTCTCTTCTTCGATGTCCTCGTCCCCTTCAGCATCAAGATCAAGCAGTTCATAGACCTCCAGTTCGTCATCAAGACTCCTCCTAGCATTGCGGATATGGGAGTCGACCCAATAACTCTGCTCGAAATTGAACATATCAGATAGTTTTTCGTGGATTGATGATGGGAAAGGCTGTGTGTCCTCGGCACTTTCATCATCGTCGACCGCCTTGCCCAGTTGCTCCACAATTCCTCATAGTGCAGTCGACGAGCGGGAGGTAGGCTCTGACTCACCGGAATCTGAGCTACTTGATGTCGCGAAAGATGTAGCTCCCGCCGGGGTAGAAGATAGACCTGCTGAGGAACCTGGTGGCGCCAGGCCGGATACTGGGGAATTAAGAGATATCGAGTTGCTGGGGACTATGCTGGGCGGGGGTGTGGGGGCACCGGTAGCTGCAGTCTGAAATTGCCACTTGAGGCGGACATTCGACTGCTTCTGACGGTGCTCATCCTGTATGTACATCTTTAGTTCAGCTATATTTGTGAGATTTGCAGTCCCCATCCGATTGCGGAGTTTTGTCAGTATCAGGCTGAAGGTGCTGAACAGACGCTTGATGGATGCCGAGTTCGCACATATGGAAAGAATTCTGTGAGCAAGCTGAGAGAGGGGGGGCAGTGTAGTGCCCGCAAATGAAAGACCTTTGCAGACCTGGAGGGGGTCAGGACTGTGATGCTAAATAGCATAATCAAGTTACCTCAAGCCCCCAAGACAGATGAATGCGGCTCACCTCGGATACGGCCTGCACTTGTATCATTTCCGTATACTCCTGTAAATCTGAATATTGTCCCTTATTATCCAAGTAGTTGTCGATCTCGGTCTTCAATGTACTGCTAACAGTAGTGTCGGGATAGAAGTGATGCCAGAGATGATGGAGGAGGATTGCAATCCCCGCCCTTGTGAAAATGCGTATCTGCTTGAATGCTCCCGTCTTCACAAAGGGATTTAGTATGACAGTGGCAATAAACACGTCTTGATCTGTCTTTCCCCACCGTGTCTTGAGGCTGTTGATTACGACATGCTTCACTGCTTCATCTTCCACTGGCTGCTCCAGGTATTGCTTGACAAGGAACGCAAATGTCAGCAGAACTTCGTCAAGGCGGCAGTGCACCGATTGCGTGACGTTTGCCGCTATAGCAAGCGGCTGGAGATGGAATTTGACCCTATCTAACATTTTAGTGAGACATTCGCAGTGCAGAATGATGAAGAGTTATGGAGGCAGCAGCACGCACAGTGCGCCCTACACAACTCACCTGTATTGAGTGGATGCTGTAGCTACTGGTAAAGCTCATATGAACGACCCTTGTCATTAGGCAGCAGAGCTGCAGGGTTTATATACACTGTGGCCCATAGGCTGACTAAGCTATGTGGAATATCCATAATCCTACTGAGCTCCACCTATGATGTCACTGACCCACATGAGCTCCATGCCCTTGTACAATAATGGAATATACCAGAATGTTCCCGGGAGTTCCGGTACGTTCTGGTACGTTGTAGAACCTGGAAGCTAAGTCAGCGCCTAGTTCAACACAGAAGACGGAACTGACCGTGCGAGATGGTGCCAGAACAAGCCGTCACAGATAATAGGTACCATCTTGCGTGTTACCGCATGACTCTGCTCCGTACCGGATGCATAAAGGCAGGGATGTTCCACAAGAAGCTCAAGAGCGCTCTTCAGCTCCAAGAGTCGCTGGTAAGCCAGGAAATGGGCCATCCATCGTGTGATAACTGCGCGGATGACAGCCAGTGTCTGGCCCTCCCAGATACATTGCTGTATCTCGCGCAACAGACCGAGCAAGAATGTTTGTCCACGCAGCCATCTGATAACCTGATCAGCCTTATCGGTATAGTCCAAAAACAATGCTGAAGCGTTAAAATAGTCCCCGACAATGAGATTAATCTGAATAGATCAGTAAGTGCATATATTTAGAAAGGATAAGACAATTGCTTACCTGATGGGCGTCGCAATTGGGCCCAACAAGATGTGTGTCTGCAGTGACAACAGCCTTCCATGCAGCCCTGGAATCCCCACCGCAATCTGAAGTAATAGCTATGACAAGAATGCCCCAATCCTTTTCCACAATCTGGATAACTTCACAAATCATAGCTATCAGATTTTCTGCATTCTCCACCTTTGTCGTAGTATCATAGACTTTCACTGTATGTAGCTGAAAGCAATAGTAAGTAAGCAAAGCTGGGCCTGCTAAAGAATGAAAATTCATTGCTCACCTCCTGATTGACATTGACCATAAAAGGAACAAGGTGAAGCAGATTTACACTGCTCCATCCATCAGTCTCAAGAGTCCCTTCTTTGCCCCTACAGTGCTGCTGTGCACCTTCCTTGAACCCTTTGAGCGTCTCCGGGATCAACCAGTTTGTAAGAACTTTGTGAGATGGTACTTGCGTGTCGGGTATGAACTCCTCGATGAAGTCAAGCCACTCGATACTCTCAACCCATGTCAGAGACCAGCCTTGGGCTGCTGTGAGACGTGCCATATGGCAATTGAAGCGTTTCTGTCACTCCTCAGACCAAACACGAGTAGCAGCATCTGTCTGTGTGGAAAGGCCCATCTTTCGCCTTTTGGATGAATGGCTAGACCTTCTCCCCATATCCTTCCAGCCTTGAATAATGGGGCTGGGCAGCGGCGAGACACTTGACACAGACTCAGAAGAGGCAATTGTCAATGGAGCTGGGGAATTAGGTCGAGTCATGGCATACTGAGAAGTACCTAGTGACACGGACACATATGGGGAGGTGATGGCAGATTGTGTGTGTGGGGTACTTGTAGCTGCATTTGTAGCCCATGTGCTAATTATCCCTGGCTGAGAGTAAATCAGATTCTCATGAGGCACCTGAGGAATGGCAAAGCCTGGTAAGGCTGGCAGCGGTGCACTCATGCCTCCGGCTGGTCCCAGACCAGCAAACTGGGGCAGTGCGAGTGGAAAGGCACCATCCTGTTGACATTCAACAACACGACGATAGTGATTTCATCAAGGTGATTTGTCCAAAGCATCATGTATCTGGTGTGCCTCACTTCGAACTGCGAGGGGTTGCAAGTCGCAAGTCGACAGATGCACACGAAGTTGAGGCATATGACTAGACTGCCAACGAGACGCAGGAGGCAGAGTAGACGGTAATGACCACACTTGCATTGTACAGTCATGAGGACCGTTCGAATGCTAGTAGAAAAAGTACTCACACATATTCTCTATGTCAGCTCGTAATTTTCCCCAGCAGTGAGTGCTTGGCTGTCAGCAGTCTGCTCCTCTAGGACACGTCTGTTGAAGCATAGCTTGCACCAGACCTTAGCCTTTTCCTTCCGCTGGGTTGTGTATGCATTCTCGTGTTTCAGGGTAAGACCCGGGTGATCATAGAAGTAGTCACGAACCGCTGAGCAGTTGGAGGAGCTGCCCCCACTGGCCATGTAGGCCGGGGTGTCGAGGCTGGTACATTCTGCGAGGTATATGTAGGTGAGACGGAGAGCCGCACGAAGTAAGATCAATGGAGCAACAGCTTTTCTCCACCATGGGACCTATACTACATGAGATCTGGACAGCAACATCAAAGCAATATTTCCGCGTGTTATAAATTTGCTATCATACAATAGAGATGCCTCCCAAGACCGTATGAGTGAAATTAGATTGTGCAGAAGGACCGATGCCACCTCAGCCACCAGGCTTCCATAATTGGTACAGTGGGAAGGTTGGGTTGGTGGGAAAGGTTGACCGAAAATCATGTTTGTCCAAACTGTAGTCAACTAGTCCGACAGTTGATGTATAAACTGTAGATTAGATAACGCGTGAGTCTTCTGTAGTCGGTTAGACTAGAGGGCGGATGTACGAAGGATGTGAGCGTAGACTGAATTGGATGTTGATACTACAGAGTACATCGCGTATATATAAGTACATTCTAAAGTCCAAGCGTGTCCCCGTATGCCACAGCAGATTCCAGCGTCTTGTGAAGCGCGTTGCCACCAGTGGCGCTTCCCACACTTTGCTTATCCGAACATATCAAACGTGCTTAAGTGCCAACATAAACTGAACCGACCACTGGTCAACTGGCACAACACTGCAATGGCAAACTTGACAACTGACAATTGGTACAGCCTCAAGCTGCAGGGCACATAGTGCTCAGGGTCATGCACCAGATTAGGGACACATTGCCCTGATTGTAGCGGCCCGAGCATCAAGACCACTCCAATCAATACACCATGTGGAACGTCTATGAGTATCACAGCCAGTGTGGCCTGCGCAGAGCACGTCCCCTTTATTTATTTCTTTTCTCTTGATTATCAGTAGATCATCGATTGCCTTAGAATATATTAACCCCTGTACATCTCATAGGTAGAGTAGTGTACTTTTGACCCTGAATCAAGTACATTTAGACTGGCTCTATATAGTGTCGTAAGTACCTTTTCACTCGTGCATTTGTAGCTTTGCAAGGCATTGCCCGAATGTTACACTTTTTGAACCTCTTGTACTTGCTTCTCTCGCACTCTACCTCTCGCTTACTCTCTTACACACTCTTGGCAATGGACTGATCACCCGAAGCCTAACACCTATCAAAATCTAGTGCTAGTGGTCCGTTATCTATGCCTACTTGCAGCAGTACGGACTTTTGGTTACCCTTGGTGTTGACAGGCACTGGCAAAGGAACGAGGGCAGGTTGCAAACTTCCATTGATGCTCTTACAGGTGTGTTATCCTCCCTATCTCTCACAACACTGACCTTGCCCTCAGGGACTGTGAGGTCTCCAGGGTCTACAACAGGAGTGGTCCTATCGTATCAAGCTGCTTCCAATGAAGCCAGCTATGAGGCCATCTCAGCCCCATCTCAAGACTAAGATGATGGGTGGTGCTCCCGCAATATGGTGGATGTTGCTATAGACACCTTAGACCGCTCCCATTCCAACAGGGATGCTGGGTCTCTTGCAAATCCCTCCCATAGTGCTGTCAACATGTGAGGTGCTATGTCAGACAGTGATATTGCACATTTTGTGCGCTTGAAGTCCCACTCACCCACCCCTTCCTCAATAGATACTCAATGTTATTTCTTCCAAGAATGGTTCTCCATGCGAGGAGACTGCAAAGTGTCAGGTAAAGATTACATAGCACAATGGGCTGATATGGTGGCTACTGCAGGGCCGGATGATTTCATAGATGATGGTACAGCTGACAGTGATATGTGTGCTGACTCCCCATCTCTCAATACTGGTGTTATATTATCTCAAGATGATTTTCTAGATGAATTAATGGATGGACTAAGCCAGGAAACCTGTGATCTATTAGCACAGTGTGATGAGAATCTCAAACATGTTCGCATAGTAAGCCCTGATTCTATCTCTGTTATTTCAAATGTTCGTACCCCTTATAAGACCAGAGGAGTCTCTCAACCTGTACACCTCAATACAGCTATTGTTTCTGACAACTCTCCTGAACCTGATGCTCATGACAACTCCAGTCTCAATCCCAGTGCTGACCCTCGCCTAGAAACTCATGCGAAACGGTTGGCTAAGGGAAAGGATGTGGACCCTCATGAGCATCCAAATGGTCTGTGTTGGAAAAATCGAAAATGCCATATCTTAAGTGATCTGATCTGGCCAGGCATGATCAGACTGTTAGGTTTGGGACCCCCTGGTCAGATTCAAAAACTCATTATATGTTGTGATCAACCTTATGAGCCCTGATCAGGCCTGATCAGGCTTTTGGAGAAATATAATAAGAAAAGACTAGTACTACTACCTTCCATTCCAATGACTACCTAACTAGCACTTTGACATTGATGGTGGAGCCTACGTACACCTTGTAGCCTGTTCAATTGTAAGCTATTTACTACAGGAGATGTTATTCTAGGCGGGATTCGACACTGCACTACCGTGTTGTTTCACTTGTGATAACATTTGCTACAAGTGCACTACTACACCAACATGCAATCACGTAATCTCATTATATACGTCATCTCGCACCCATACAGAGGTTTATGGGTGACACCGGTGATAAGCCTCAGGATCGTCTGACCCCCAAAAGCGCGGACTTAGCACATTGTACAAGCCCTCCGGAGCTTATTCAACACAGTGCTCACACACCTCTAGGCTTCTATGGGCTCCAAAGAATTGCTCTATTTAGCTCCAGACTTCCTAGCATTCCGCGATTCATCTCCGCATACAGGAGCTCCGGAGCGACTTAACCAATGCGACTTCTAGGTGAATTAGCTCCAGGGCCCGCGGATGCTTCTTTCAAGGGGCGTCATCCTCATGCCCACCCTCCAGCACTCAATCCCCCTCATTTCCATCAAAATACCGAAGGTGCAGACATATATGAGTCACCATGAGGTCAGCATCAGTCAGCAAGCAGCCGGAGGTAATCAGCATGTGACCGGCGCGTCGCACGGAGTGATGGGATCACTTGGGGCAGTGGCGGAGCGTCGAGGCGACCTATAGGGGCTGGGACAAGCAAGTGGGAGCGCAAGGGAGTCATATGGTGCATGGTATAATGGCGGCAAGTGCTGAGCAATCCTGTGGGTAGCGGCATTTATTTGCTATTTATCTCCGGACGGTCGCAAAGCCATTCCTGTTGTATAAATTGTACAAAGTAGCATACAGAAAAACAAGTTTTGCACTTCACCATCTCAGAGAATTAGCGTTACGATCTCAGCGACCCTTGAAGTTCGAAAGCATTGAACTTAGCAAATTATAACCGATCCTAGCTTTGCCAATAGGCCTGACTCGTCGAGTGATTTATCTCTGCCATTGATTTAATTATCTCCGGTGCATCCTACATAGCGAAATAAAATTAACTCAGTCTCTCTAGCAATTTCCACCCCCACGAGCACAATCCTACGACAGGTGTCGTTGCTTGCGACTTTGATTGTGACTCTTCGGAGATAAATACTCCGGAGTGTCGACTAGCATTTGTCTTTAGGCGTCAAAGTATTTATTTTATTTTTTTAGGTCTTCCTATGGACTACCCTACGATGTCTTACTCCTCCTTCCCCCTCGAACTATTAAAATACCCCTCAGTTGTCTTGGACCACCTTCACCCATATCACGGGGTTTAGGTTTATTTCTTTTGGTCCTTGGTGATTGTTGTGTGCCAGTGCATATCACTGGTCGGGCTGCTATAGTGCTGTAGTTCTATCCTAGACTGAATACAATTCATGTTGATAGAAAATTAGAACAAAGGAATAGTAGCTGGACCTGCGAAAGGCAAAGGTGCTCCCAGCTGTTCATGCCAGATCAAGCCTGACAAGGCCTGACGAGAGCATGATCAGGGTGAATACAAAGCCTTATAAGGCATGGTCATGCCTTATCAGGCTGTCAGGCTTCGTCAGGCCTGATCAGCGTTTTCATGCTTTTCCGACATGAGTTAAGATAATCAGGAAGAACATCCCCAACTGGACAAGACACAAGCTGCACAGCTGCTTGCTGATGCACTGCTAGATCGATGAGTGCAGTGACTACTTGAGGAAGAAAATTATACTATGGGAAAGGAATCAAC